AGGATGACGGTGGCGACGGCGAGGGTATCGGCGATGACGCGGGCGGGGGGGGGGGCACGGAAGGGGGGGGGGATGAGAAAAGACGGGGGGGTCCTTAAGGAGGAGCGGAAGACGGTGAGAGCGGGCGTGACCATCTTGACGTTGACGAGGGAGTTCCGTTGCAGCGCACAGGGCCCAGGAGCGAGGAGGGAACGGGGAACGTAGAGGGACGCGTCTGGGATTGTGAGCGCAGTGAGCGGCGAGGGAACGTCGAGCGAGATGAGGGAAATTTCGATGTAAAGCTTTCGTGACTGCAGGGATTCATCTTCTTGGTTCTTTCGGTAAAGTCACGTAGAATGGAAATAATAAAATAATAAAAATTAACCTTAATAAAATTTCGATTTAAAGCTTTCGTGACTGCAGGGATTCATCTTCGTGGTTCTTTCGGTAAAGTCACGTAGAATGTAAATAATAAAATAATAAAAATAAAACAATAAAATAATTCTCACGACGTTTCGACTACAACGCAAGCAGCCGTCCTCAGGTGACAGACCTGTTCTTCATTCAGACGCTGTCTTCTCGACAGACATGTTCTCCACCTGAGGACGGCTGCTTGCGTTGTGGCCGAAACGTCGTGAGAATTATTTTATCATGTTTTATTTGTATTGTTTTATTATTTCCATTCTACGTGACTTTACCGAAAGAACCAAGAAGAGATGAGGGAAGCCAAGGTTAGTGGAGGCGAGGCCGTGAGGAGGTTTTAAAGGCCGGGGTGCTGCGTTCGGACGAATTCATTGCCGTGCTCACCGTGCTTTCCGATCGTTTATTGTGTCGTCGTATTGTTTGCTGTTGGTAAGTTTCTGATCGCGAGCCACGCACCCCCCACCCCACCCACATTTTTTTTCATGGGAAAAAGAAAGAGCTTCACGGCTCATCGGATTTCTCCAGGAGAAAATGTGAGACTCCGACATGCGCCGAGCACCCGGTTCTCGTTCACCGCAGCCCTTGAGTTAATCTGCGCACGCAAGATCGCGTTGTACTACTGTTCTTTTACTATTTTTTTAACAAAGCCACCTTTGCGAGGATCGCGCGCGCGCCTTCCGCGTAGGCCCCGCCGACATGCAGGCCCAAGACGACAACCTGCAATCAAACGACCGCCGCCTCGGCGACAAACGCGACGTTTAAATTGGTAAACGCCACGAACGGAACGAGCCTCCGCTCCGCATTCACGCGGGCGGGGACAAGAGATGGATCCTTGCGCGTGTGGGGGGAAGGGGGCCGGGGGAGGGGAGCGGTGGGGTGAGGTGCTGCTGCTGGGGGGATGGAGAAGAAGCCATCATGGGTATTCACGTGGGCGATGCGCACGCACGCGCGCCATCGATCGCCGGCTGGCCGTGCTCATCAGCAGTAGTTTACGGATCGTTGCCAAGAAAATTAGCGTCGCCTGTCCTTAAAGTGAAGGGAAAAAATGCCACCTCTCTGCAACGCTTTAGCTCCTGCCCGCCCCCCCGTCTTGCGCTCGCGAACGGAACGTCGGTGCAGAGTTTCGTGTTGTTGGTCGCGCTCGGGACTTGCCGTCGAGAAAATTGGGGGCCGATGTCGATCGTGAACGTTTCGGGCGAGCATCCAGCGCTGGGAAGGATAATTAGAAACTCAACAAACAGCGCTTAAAGAGTTGGCTAACCACTGTGCCACCGCTCCCCCACGCGCACACATACAAAGACAAATATCCCCCGAGTAGCCTTAACAGACTGTAGGGGCAAGTGCTGTTAGCGAGCACCTACGAAGGCCGAAACGGCACACGAGGGGGCGGGTGGCCAGCACCACGCCCGGCCGCCTTTGTCTCCCCAGTGGCGATGATGAGGCCCGGGAATCAGTTCGGATAACCGTCGCTGGTGTTGGTGGTGGCCGCCAGAGGGAATCGAACCTCGGTGACGTAGCCGCGGGTTCGTGGCCAAGCCTGGGTCAGAGGTCGCAAACGGGTTTTGATTTCTTACCCATACCCGTACCCGGCCGCACCAGGGTCGCAAACGGGTACCCGTACCCATACCCGGCCGGGTACGGGTAGGGTACGGGTATCGGGTACCTGATTGCGACCTCTGGGATGAAGCCATGTTGCAGGGGCGGGTGGGTTGATTCTAAGAACTTGAATTGTGAGAAGAGACAAAACGTTGGGAAATGAGTGACAAACGGTTACTCACCAGTGACTCACGGTCTACCCGTACCCGTACCCGGCCGCACCAGGGTCGCAAACGGCCGGGTACGGGTAGCCGAGTATCGGGTAGGGTACGGGTATCGGGTACCTGGTTGCGACCTCTGGCCTGGGCTAACCGCCACACCACCGCCACCGCCGCTTCTCCCGCACCGCATCGGCGATCGCGCGCACGCGAACATTTCCCTCTGCGATGCCGCGGCTTTCGACCCCTCCGCGCTCCAATTCCACGCGGGCCAAAAAAAAAAAACCAGCGGCGTCCATTCCCCGATATTGGCCAATAAAAGCGGAATTCACGCGGTATAGCGGCACGTAACCTTTCCCCGTTGCTTATCACTTCCAAATGTCACTTGTCGTTATAGGCCATTTCTCCAGGCAACGCAAACTCCGTTTAACCCCCACCCCCCCCCCTGACCGAAATGTACCCCCTTGCCTCGGGGGCTCGCAGGGAGAGGCTGTCTGGCAGTGGGCTGGTTAGCGCGGCTCACGTTGAAGGGGCTCGCGCCAATAAAATGGTGCTCGCGATCTGACCTGCAGGGCCTCGGCTCATCCCTCCACGGTGGCGAGGGTTGCGCCTCGGTGATTTGGGCGCCACGGTGGCTGGGAGATGTTGACTACCTCGCCTGGTGTACGGGAGGTCGTGGGTTCCATCCCGACCCAGACGACGCCTGCTGCTGTATATTTTGAATTTTCGCGTCTCTTTTTCTCTCTCATCATCATCATCATCACCACGGTGGCTGGGAGATGTTAACCATCTCGCCTGGTGTGCGGGAGGTCGTGGGTTCCATCCCGACCCAGATGACGCCTGCTGTATATTTTGAATTTTCGCGTCTCTTTTTCTCTCTCATCATCATCATCACCACGGTGGCTGGGAGATGTTAACCACCTTGCCTGGTGTGCGGGAGGTCGCGGGTTCCATTCCGACCCTGACGACGCCTGCTGCTGTATATTTTGAATTTTCGCGTCTCTCTCTCATCATCACGGTGGCTCGGAGATGTTGACTACCTCGCCTGGTGTACAGGAGGTCGTGGATTCCATCCCGACCCTGACGACACCTGCTGCTGTATATTTCTAGTTTGCGGTGTCTCTCTCTCCCCGTGGTGATCGTGTGGATTGGGCACCTCGGCGGCTAGGAGATGCTAACTACCTCACCTGGGTAGACCCGTCTCAATATTCTCTCCGTGGTCGCGTGGATTTTTCTCCGAGTCTTCCGGTTTTTCCCCTCCGCATTAAGAATCAACTTCACGCGGTTAGAAATGTTTGGCTGCTGCCTATACATTTCTACACGGTGATGATGATAAGCCTCTTCGTTGAGCTATCGCTTGTAATCGCCAGGTCGCTTCTGAGAAATAGCTGCGTAGTTCAGCCGGGGGGGGGGGCCTTACCTGGCTCAAACATTTTTTGTTGGAAAGAACCAAAGAGTATTATTTCAAATAGTTTCAACTCAAGCCAACCAATGCCTTGCTTCCCCCCCCCCCCCCCACTCCACACTCCCCAGGGTAACAGCTTCAGAGGGCACGGGATTAGCATTCGTCTACGCACTAACACGCTCACTTGATGTTCGTTCTTTTGTTGTTGTCGTCAAAAATCCAATTAAGTGCCTGTGCGCGCGCGCGTATCCGCGCGCTCGCGTGCACGCGCGTGTCCGCACGCTTGCGTGACCGCACGCCAACCCCTGGCGCCCGGCGGGTCTGTCCCGAGACCTCCCTCCTTGCAGGCAGCGAGCCTTCGACACTTCACGTGTATTCATCTTTTTTTCACGTGGTTTAGTGGTAAACAATTGGAGCTGGAGAGGTTACCAGCCCCCTCGCACCCGGCCTTAGCGTGCACCTGGCCTGGCACAGGCGCCATCACTTGACGTGGCCTCGAAGTGCACCTGGCCTGGCACAGGCGCCGTGGTGACGTCGTACCGTCACTCCGTTGCGAATGGCGCGTGTTGGATATTGGTGATGATGGTGATGACAACTTTGTGATGGTGTTGTTGAGGGTGAAGGCAGATGACGATCGCGATAACTTGATGATGATGGCGATGGGGACATTGGCTACGACGATGATGGCGATGATGACGATGATGATGATGATAATGATGGCGATGATGGCAATGATGACGATGATAATGTTGATGGCGAGGATGACGGCGATGATGGTGATGATGATGATGATGGCGATGACGATGATAATGATGGCGATGATGGCAATGATGACGATGATAATGTTGATGGCGAGGATGACGGCGATGATGGTGATGATGATGATGGCGATGACGATGATAATGATGGCGATGATGGCGATGATGACGATGATAATAGTTGATGGCGAGGATGACGGCGATGATGGCGATGATGGTGATGATGATGATGGCGGCGATGATAATGATGGCGATGATGATGGCGGCGATGATAATGATGGCGATGATGGCAATGATGACGATGATAATGTTGATGGTGAGAATGACGGCGATGATGGCAATGATGGTGATGATGCTGATGATGACGATGATGGCGATGATTTTGATGACGACAGCGATGATGACGACGATGACGATAGCGATGATGACGACGATGATGGCGATGATGACGATGATTTTGATGACGACAGCGATGATGACGACGATGACGATAGCGATGATGACGACGATGATGGCGATGATGACGATGATTTTGATGATGACGACGATGATGGCGAGGTTGGCGATGAGCTAACCTGCGTGTGTTTGTCACGTGCCCCCCCCCCATCGGTCTCCCCCTCCCCCCCATGGACTGCCCCCCCCTCGCCCCCCCCCCATCTCTCCACGTCTGCGTCTCTCCAGCAGCTTTCGTGAAAAATTTCCGCGTCAAATCGGTGACGCAGACCTCCGTGCTGCTCGTGTGGGAGGCGCCGGCGTCGTACAGCTCCAGCGAGCCGCTCAAGGTGGCGCGGGCGCACACACGCACGCACGCACACACACACTCCGCACACGCGGGCACCGCACTAGCGCTACACACACACACACTCCACACTCGCACACACGCAGCCACCGCACTAACGCTACACACACTCTCCGCACTCGCACACACGCAGGCACCGCACTAGCGCTACACACACACGCACACTCCACACTCATGCACATGCAGGCACCGCACTAGCACACACACACTCCGCACTAGCGCTACACACACACACTCCGCACTAGCGCTACACACACACACTCCACACTAGCACACACACACACGCTCACTCTCCACACTAGCACACACGCTCACTCTCCACACTAGCACACACACACACACTCACTCTCCACACTAGCACACACGCGCTCACTCTCCACACTAGCACACACACACTCACTCTCCACAATAGCACACACACACACGCTCACTCTCCACACTAGCACACACACACACACTCACTCTCCACACTAGCACACACACACACACTCACTCTCCACACTAGCACACACACACACGCTCACTCTCCACACTAGCACACACACACACACTCTCCACACTAGCACACACACACACGCTCACTCTCCACACTAGCACACACACACACACACTCACTCTCCACACTAGCACACACACACACGCTCACTCTCCACACTAGCACACACACACTCACTCTCCACACTAGCACACACACACACGCTCACTCTCCACACTAGCACACACACACACGCTCACTCTCCACACTAGCACACACACACACGCTCACTCTCCACACTAGCACACACGCTCACTCTCCACACTAGCACACACACACACGCTCACTCTCCACACTAGCACACACACACACGCTCATTCTCCACACTAGCACACACACACACGCTCACTCTCCACACTAGCACACACACACACACGCTCACTCTCCACACTAGCACACACACACACACTCTCCACACTAGCACACACACACACGCTCACTCTCCACACTAGCACACACACACACGCTCACTCTCCACACTACCACACACACACACGCTCACTTTCCACACTAGCACACACACACACGCTCACTCTCCACACTAGCACACACACACACACGCTCACTCTCCACACTAGCACACACACACACGCTCACTCTCCACACTAGCACACACACACACACTCTCTCTCCACACTAGCACACACACACACACTCACTCTCCACACTAGCACACACACGCACGCTCACTCTCCACACTAGCACACACACACTCACTCTCCACACTAGCACACACACACACGCTCACTCTCCACACTAGCACACACACACACTCACTCTCCACACTAGCACACACACACACGCTCACTCTCCACACTAGCACACACACACTCACTCTCCACACTAGCACACACACACACGCTCACTCTCCACACTAGCACACACACACACGCTCACTCTCCACACTAGCACACACACACACGCTCACTCTCCACACTAGCACACACACACACGCTCACTCTCCACACTAGCACACACACACACGCTCACTCTCCACACTAGCACACACACACACACGCTCACTCTCCACACTAGCACACACACACACACTCACTCTCCACACTAGCACACACACACGCTCACTCTCCACACTAGCACACACACACTCACTCTCCACACTAGCACACACACACACGCTCACTCTCCACACTAGCACACACACACACGCTCACTCTCCACACTAGCACACACACACACGCTCACTCTCCACACTAGCACACACACACACAGCTCACTCTCCACACTAGCACACACACACGCTCACTCTCCACACTAGCACACACACACACCTCACTCTCCACACTAGCACACACACACACGCTCACTCTCCACACTAGCACACACACACACGCTCACTCTCCACACTAGCACACACACACACGCTCACTCTCCACACTAGCACACACACACACGCTCACTCTCCACACTAGCACACCACACACGCTCACTCTCCACACTAGCACACACACACACGCTCACTCTCCACACTAGCACACACACACACGCTCACTCTCCACACTAGCACACACACACACGCTCACTTCTCCACACTAGCACACACACACACGCTCACTTCTCCACACTAGCACACACACACACACGCTCACTCTCCACACTAGCACACACACACACTCACTCTCCACACTAGCACACACACACGCTCACTCTCCACACTAGCACACACACACACGCTCACTCTCCACACTAGCACCCACACACACGCTCACTCTCCACAACTAGCCATGCACACACACACGCTCACTCTAGCACACACACACGCTCACTCTCCACAATAGCACACACACACACGCTCACTCTCCACACTAGCACACACACACACACTCACTCTCCACACTAGCACACACACACACCTCACTCTCCACACTAGCACACACACACACGCTCACTCTCCACACTAGCACACACACACACGCCACCTCTCCACACTAGCACACACACACACGCTCACTCTCCACACTAGCACACACACACACGCTCACTCTCCAACTAGCACACACACCACGCTCACTCTCCACACTAGGCACACACACACACGCTCACTCTCCACACTAGCACACACACACACGCTCACTCTCCACACTAGCACACACACACACGCTCACTCTCCACACTAGCACACACACACACCTCACTCTCCACACTAGCACACACACACCGCTCACTCTCCACACTAGCACACACACACACGCTCACCTTCTCCCACTAGCACACACACACACGCTCACTTCTCCACACTAGCACACACTAAGCACACAAGCACACACACACAGCTCACTCTCCACACTAGCACACACACACACTCTCACACTAGCACACACACACACGCTCACTCTCCACACTAGCACACACACACACGCTCACATCTCCACACTACCACACACACACACGCTCACTTTCCACACTAGCACACACACACACGCTCACTCTCCACACTAGCACACACACACACACGCTCACTTCCACACTAGCACACACACACACGCTCACTCTCCACACTAGCACACACACACACACTCACTCTCCACACTAGCACACACACACACACCTCACTCTCCACACTAGCACACACACACACGCTCACTCTCCACACTAGCACACACACACACTCACTCTCCACACTAGCACACACACACACGCTCACTCTCCACACTAGCACACACACACACTCACTCTCCACACTAGCACACACACACACGCTCACTCTCCACACTAGCACACACACACTCACTCTCCACACTAGCACACACACACGCTCACTCTCCACACTAGCACACACACACTCACTCTCCACACTAGCACACACACACACGCTCACTCTCCACACTAGCACACACACACACGCTCACTCTCCACACTAGCACACACACACACGCTCACTCTCCACACTAGCACACACACACACGCTCACTCTCCACACTAGCACACACACACACAGCTCACTCTCCACACTAGCACACACACACACACGCTCACTCTCCACACTAGCACACACACACACGCTCACTCTCCACACTAGCACACACACACACGCTCACTCTCCACACTAGCCACACACACACGCTCACTCTCCACACTAGCACACACACACACGCTCACTCTCCACACTAGCACACACACACACACGCTCACTCTCCACACTAGCACACACACACACGCTCACTCTCCACACTAGCACACACACACACGCTCACTCTCCACACTAGCACACACACACACGCTCACTCTCCACACTAGCACACACACACACGCTCACTCTCCACACTAGCACACACACACACGCTCACTCTCCACACTAGCACACACACACACGCTCACTCTCCACACTAGCACACACACACACGCTCACTCTCCACACTAGCACACACACACACACCTCACTCTCCACACTAGCACACACACACACGCTCACTCTCCACACTAGCACACACACACACGCTCACTCTCCACACTAGCACACACACACACACGCTCACTCTCCACACTAGCACACACACACACGCTCACTCTCCACACTAGCACACACACACGCTCACTCTCCACACTAGCACACACACACACGCTCACTCTCCACACTAGCACACACACACACGCTCACTCTCCACACTAGCACACACACACAGCTCACTCTCCACACTAGCACACACACACCAGCTCACTCTCCACACTAGCACACACACACACGCTCACTCTCCACACTAGCACACACACACACGCTCACTCTCCACACTAGCACACACACACACGCTCACTCTCCACACTAGCACACACACACTCACTCTCCACACTAGCCACACACACACGCTCACTCTCCACACTAGCACACACACACACACGCTCACTCTCCACACTAGCACACAACACACGCTCACTCTCCACACTAGCACACACACACACCTCACTCTCCACACTAGCACACACACACACACTCACTCTCCACACTAGCACACACACACGCTCACTAACGCTCACTCTCCACACTAGCACACACACGCTCCACTCTCCACACTAGCACACACACCCACACGCTCACTCTCCACACTAGCACACAACACGCTCACTCTCCACACTAGCACACACACACCGCTCACTCTCCACACTAGCACCACACACACACTCACTCTCCACCACTAGCACACACACACACACTCACTCTCCACACTAGCACACACACACACGCTCACTCTCCACACTAGCACACACACACACTCACTCTCCACACCTAGCACACACACACACGCTCAACTCTCCACACTAGCACACACACGCTCACTCTCCAAACTAGCACACACACACCACGCTCACTCTCCACACTAGCACACACACACTCACTCTCTCCACACTAGCACAACCACACACGCTCACTCTCCACCTAGCACCAACACACACTCACTCTCCACACTAGCACACACACACACACTCACTCTCCACACTAGCACACACACACACGCTCACTCTCCACACTAGCACACACACAGCCACTCTCCACACTAGCACACACACACACACGCTCACTCTACCAGCACACACACGCCACTCTCCCACACTAGCACACACACACACTCACTCTCCACACTAGCACACACACACACGCTCACTCTCCACACTAGCACACACACGCTCACTCTCCATACTAGCACACACACACACGCTCACTCTCCACACTAGCACACACACTCACTCTCCACACTAGCACACACACACACGCTCACTCTCCACACTAGCACACACACACTCACTCTCCACACTAGCACACACACACACACTCACTCTCCACACTAGCACACACACACACACTCCACACTAGCACACACACACACTCTCCACACTAGCACACACACACACACTCCACACTAGCACACACACACACTCTCCACACTAGCACACACACACACACTCCGCACTCATGCACACGCAGGCACCGCACGAGCGCTACACACACACACTCACTCTCCACACTAGCACACACGCGGGCACCGCACTAGCGCTACACACACACACTCACTCTCCACACTAGCACACACGCGGGCACCGCACTAGCGCTACACACACACACTCTGCACTAGCACACACGCGGGCACCGCACTCGCTTTACACACACACACACTCACTCTCCATACTAGCACACACGCAGGCACCGCACTAGCGCTACACACACACACTCTGCACTAGCACACACGCGGGCACCGCACGAGCGCTACACACACACACACTCACTCTCCACACTAGCACACACGCGGGCACCGCACTAATGCTACACACACTCACTCTCCACACTAGCACACACGCAGGCACCGCACATGCACTACACACACACACTCCACACTAGCACACACGCACTACACACACACACTCCACACTAGCACACACACACACTCTCCACACTAGCACACACGCACTACACACACACTCTCCACACTAGCACACACGCGGGCACCGCACTAATGCTACACACACTCACTCTCCACACTAGCACACACGCAGGCACCGCACATGCACTACACACACACACTCCACACTAGCACACACGCACTACACACACACACTCCACACTAGCACACACACACACTCTCCACACTAGCACACACGCACTACACACACATTCTCCACACTAGCACACACGCGGGCACCGCACTAATGCTACACACACTCACTCTCCACACTAGCACACACGCAGGCACCGCACATGCACTACACACACACACTCCACACTAGCACACACGCACTACACACACACACTCCACACTAGCACACACACACACTCTCCACACTAGCACACACGCGGGCACCGCACTAGCGCTACACACACACACACTCCACACTAGCACACACACACACTCTCCGCACTAGCACACACGCGGGCACCGCACTCGCTCCATACACTCGCGACCTCCCGCATACCAGCCGCCGCCGCCGCGTCCAAAACCACGGCAACTTTTCTACCTTCTCTAACACCCCCCCCCCCGCGCTCTGACCCCTTGACCCCCACCATGACCCCCGCCCCCTGCCCCCCTCCAACAAGGTGGTGTCGAGCGACGGCCAGGCGATCGAGGTGGACGGCTGGTCGGGCCGCAAGCGCGTGAGCGGCCTGCGTCCCGACACGGAGTACCGGCTGGGCCTGACGAGCCGCGGGGACAGCGCGGGGGCCCTGCAGCAGGAGGTGGCGGTGCGCACGGCGCCCCAACTCTTCAGGGGGGCTCGCCCCGTGCCGCTGGGACGCGTCTCCGCCGACGGCACCATCAGCCTGGACCTGCCGCAGCCCGCTGACGGGGTGCAGCTGCGGTGGGTGGTGTGGTGGTGGGGGGGGGGGGGTGGTGGTGGGGGGGGTGTGGGTGGGGGGGGGGGTGGGGTGGTGGTGGGGGGGGGGGGGTGGTGGTGGGGTGGTGTGGGTGTGGTGGTGGTGTGGGTGGGGGAGGGGGTGGGGTGGTGGTGGGGGGGGGTGGTGTGGGTGGTGTGGTGGTGGGGGGGGGGAGTGGTGGTGGGGTGGTGTGAGTGTGGTGGTGGTGTGGGTGGGGGGGGGGGTGGGGTGGTGGTGGGGGGGGGTGGTGTGGGTGGGGGGTGTGGTGGTGGGAGGGGGTGGTGTGGGGTGTGGGTGGGGGGTGTGGTGGTGGGGGGGGTGGTGGTGGTGGGGTGGTGTGGGTGTGGTGGTGGTGTGGGTGGGGGGGGGGGGTGGGGTGGTGGTGGGGGGGGGTGGTGTGGGTGGAGTGGGTGTGGTGGGGGTGTGGGTGGGGGGGGGGGGTGGTGGTGGGGGGGGGTGGTGTGGGTGGGGGGTGTGGTGGTGGGGGGGGGGGTGGTGGTGGTGGGGGTGGAGTGGGGTGTGGTGGGGGGGGGGGGTGGTGGTGGGGGGGGGGTGGTGTGGGTGGGGGGTGTGGTGGTGGGAGGGGGTGGTGTGGGGTGTGGGTGGGGGGTGTGGTGGTGGGGGGGGGGGTGGTGGGTGGAGTGGGTGTGGTGGTGGTGGTGGTGGTGGGTGGAGTGGGTGTGGTGGTGGTGGTGGTGGTGTTGTGGGTGGAGTGGGCATGGGGGTGTGGGTGGAGTGGATGTGGGGCTGGTGGGAGTGGTGGTGTGGTGGGGGTGTTGGTGTGGTGGGGTGTATGGAGTGGGCGTCGGGGTGTGCGTGGAGTGGATGTGGGGGTGGTGGTGTGGTGGTGTGGATGGAGGGGTGTGGTGGTGGGGGGGTGGTGTGTATGGAGTGGGCGTGGGGGTGTGGGTGGAATGGATGTGGGGCTGTTGGGGGTGGTGGTGTGCTGGGTGTGGTGGAGTAGGTGTAGGGCTGTGGTGGTGGTGGTAGTAGTGTAGGTGGCGGGGTGTGATGTTGTGTGTGGAGTGGGCGTCGGGGTGTGGGTGGAGTGGATGTGGGTGAAGGGGCGTTGTGATGGTGTGGCTGGCGTGTTGTGCACCTGGCGCGGTGTGTAAATATTCGCCGCTAGGGAGACAAAGGCGGCCGGGCGTGGCGCTGGCCACCCACCCCCTAGTATGCCCTCCCCGCCTTCGTGGGTGCTGCTACTCGCTAACAGCACTCGCCCCAACATTCTGCCAAGACCGAGTGGTCGCGTCACTGCGTGTGTCTGCAGGTCCTACTGCTTGGTGGTGGTGCCGCTGGCGAGGCAGAAGGGCCGCTACCTGCGGCCGTCAGGAAGTCCCGAAGAGCTGGACCTGGACCAGGTGCGGGGCGCCACGGCACCGCGTCTCCACCACCAACACCACCACCACCACAACTACCATTGTCACCACCACCACCACAACTACCATTGTCGTCACCACCACCACCACAACTACCATTGTCGTCACCACCACCACAACTACCATTGTCGTCACCACCACCACAACTACCTTTGTCATCACCACCACCACAACTACCATTGTCGTCACCACCACCACAACTACCATTGTCGTCACCACCACCACAACTACCATTGTCGTCATCACCACCACAACTACCATTGTCATCACTGCCACCACGACCACCACAACTACCATTGTCGTCACCATCATCACAACTACCATTGTCATCACTGCCACCACGACCACCACAACTACCATTGTTGTCACCACCACCACCACAACTACTATTGTCACCACCACCACAACTACCATTGCCATCACCATCACCACCACAACTACCATTGTCGTCACCACCACCACCACGACCACCAATGCTGTCACCACCGCCAACACCAACCCCCCCATCCTGCCCGCATCTCCCTGCCGCCCCCCCCTCCCCCAGCTGTTGGAGGAGTCGACCCCCGGCGGCCGGCGCCGGCGTCGTCGCCATCGCCGTACGACTCCTCGGGGCGCCGCGGCGGACGCGGCCGGCGGTGGAGCCGCAGCGTACGTGACGGCGCGCTGGGACGGGGGGCCGCCGCCGCCGCCTCCTCCCTCCGCCGGCGCCGGCGCTGGCGGCGGCGGCTTCGTGGTGGGCGACGGTGCCCGCCTGGGCGGCCACGTGAACCGCCCGCTGCAGGAGGGACGCGCCTTCACCTTCTTCGCCATGGCGGCCGTGGGCTCCCGCGACGCCGTGAGTGGCGGCGGCCGTCGTGTGCCGACCCCTGACCCCACCGCCGGCCCGCCGGAGCGCCCCCTGCGGGCGCCGCGACGAGCCCGTGCCGGCACGATCGGCGCCGGTGCCGCGGAATGACGGGGGTCGAGGGGGGAACACGGGCGTGGAGTGGGCTTGGTAGCTAGGAGATGTTAACTACCTCGCCTGGTGTGCGGGAGGTCGTGGGTTTGCTCCTGACCCCTGAGCGCCTGCTGTATTACACTGGTCAACACACTTTTTCTGGCATAAGGTATTCCAATCGTTTTAAGGTAATTTTGGGGTGCTGATTCCAAATCTGTTTTTGTCTATCACATTGTCTATCACATCAGGTTTTTGAGATATCAAATATTGCATTTTCAATAAAAACTGCAGAAGAAAAATATTAAATAAATGTGGATATCTACATAAAATTATAATATAAACACACTATCCTAAAAATACAGCGCCATATTTTAACACTAAAGCAGTCACCGACTCGCAACAACTTGCAATCATAAGTGACAGAGTTAATTTCGGGTAAAATCAATGAAAATGGGGTATGCCGATAGCATAAAAATGAGATGTGATAGAGCAAATCCGAGATCAGATTTGGAATCGGCACCCTGAAATTAGTCTGCAAAAGTCCAAGGCCAGATTTTTTTGTTTTTGTTGACCGGTGTGATTGGAGTTTGTGTGTCTCTCTCTCTCTCTCTCTCCCCGTGGTCGCGTGGATTTTTATCGGGGTCCTCCGATTTTCCCCTCCACATTTTAGAATGAACGTCACGCGTTTAGACTGTTTTGCTGCTTCAATAGAGTTCCACTTACGACTATAAGCCCCATTTTTGTTGATGGGACAGTGTCGCTTCTGAAAAACACAGCTCCGCTGGGTCTTTACCTGGTCAAATAAAAAATTAACCCGTAAAAACAAAGTGTTTCACTCTAAATCCTTCATATGCGTGGCGGCTAGAGTCCTCTCGTCCTCTGGCTTGAGATGGCCGCCACCTATGGGTCAGATGATTGCATTGCACCATTAAACAATTGGTAATCAAATATAAAAAAATTTACCTAAAAAGTGTACAATTTTTGGAAAAAACATTTTCACGAACATTAATCGTCACGCACAACGAGTCTGTGTGCAAAATGTCAGCTCGATTGGATCACGGGAAGTGGGTTAAAAAAACGACCGAAAGATTTGCACGGTCGTAAGCGCGCGCAAGCAAGCAAGTGAACTTAATATAAAGGATTTAAAAATAGTTGCGTTTAGCAGGACCCCGCGAGCGGGAGGTGGGGGAAGGGGGTTTTCGTCTGGCGAGAAAAAAAACTACTTTTTGATCGTTTGGGAACCGCAAGCGAAGAGTGAACGGCGCGTTGGCGGGGAACCGATCTTCGGGATTCTTCCAGGCCGTGCCGAGTTGCCGGCGACTCGGCTGACGACTTCGGCGGCTGCTGCTGCTGACGGCACAGAACATATTGGGGCTTTCATTTAATTTTTCTGATGCTTCGGTGTATGCCGAATGAAAACGGGACGTGTGCTATTTGACCCGTGAGGAATTACGTTTGTCGTTTTTTAAATGTCAAAATCCTCTCCTCCTCCTCCTCTCCTTTTATTAAAGCGTCTCTCGCGTTAATTCCCGCTTGGGCACCTGCGCCCCGGGTGATTTCGTGGCGGACCAGGGTTGGGGGTCGCTCCTCTCGGTCACGTGGCCCCCAAACCCCCCCCCCCCCCCCCATTAAAACATCGCGGCGCCGTGACGGGCGACTTCTCCGAGGTAGCTCCATCACGTCTGCTTCTGCGGTCCGCTGTCGAACACAAAAACGCCGTTTCGTTGAGAGACCCGGAGCGGATTTTTCGTCACGTGGTGGTGGTGGTCTCCTCCCCTGAGGTCGACTCGGCCTCAAATGAGTACCTGGTACGGTGTGTAGTAAACATCGCCACTTGGGGAGACAAATGCGGCCGGGCGTGGTGCTGGCCACCCTCCCCTCGTGTACCGTGCCGGCCTTCGTAGGTGCTGCTCGCTAACAGCACTTGCCCCTACAGTCTGTTAAGGCTATATGGGTGATCTTTGTCTTTGCGTGTGTGTGTACGTGTGTGTGCGCGCGTGTGTGTGTACGTGTGTACGTGTGTGTGCGCGCGCGTGTGTGCGCGCGTGTGTGTGTACGTGTGTACGTGTGTGTGCGCGCGCGCGTGTGTGTGCACGTGTGTGTGCGCGCGTGTGTGTGCGCGCGTGTGTGTGTACGTGTGTGTGTACGTGTGTACGTGTGTGTGTGTGTGTGCGCGTGTGTGTGTACATGTGTGTGTACGTGTGTGTGTGTGTGCGCGTGCCACAGCGCATGTGGGCGGTGAGCGGCTACTCAGAGCCCGTGGTGTCCCCCGAGCCGGAGCCGCTGCCCATCTCGGAGGAGGAGGAGGGGCTGCTGTGGGTGGTGGGGCCCGTGCTGGCCGTCATCTTCATCATCTGCGTCGTCATCGCCATCCTCCTCTACAAGAGGTGGCGGGCGGGCGGGCGGGCGGGCGGGCACACTCATCGTCGTCATCATCATCGCCTTCATCGTCATGATCATCGTCGTCATGATCATTGTTGTCGTCGTCATCATCATCGTCGTGATCACGATCGTCGTCATCATCATCATCGCCGTCATTGTCTTGATCATTGTCGTCGTCATCATCATCGTCGTGATCATGATCGTCGTCATCATCATCATCATCGCCGTCATCGACTTGATCGTCGTCGTCATCATCATCGCCGTCATCGTCTTGATCATTGTCGTCGTCATCATCATCGTCGTGATCATGATCGTCGTCATCATCATCATCGCCGTCATTGTCATGATCATCGTCATCATGATCATTGTCGTCGTGATCATGATAGTCATCATCATCATCATCATCGCCTTCATCGTCATGATCATCGTCGTCATGATCATTGTCGTCGTCGTCATCATCATCGTCGTGATCATGATAGTCGTCATCATCATCATCGCCGTCATCGTCTTGATCATTGTCGTCATCATCATCGCCACCACCATTGTCGTCATCATCGTCGCCACCACCACTCATCATCGTCATCATCGCCGTCATTATCGTGGTCATCTTCGTCGTCATCACCATTGTCATCATCGCCATCACGCACGAGCACACACCAAATATACATACACACGCACACTCGCACGCTCACTCGCACGCACGCACGCACGTACGTGCAGACAAAGATTAACATTCCCCCGTATAGCCTTCGCGGACAGTTGGGGCAAGTGCTGTTAGCGAGCACTAATGAAAGGCTGGCACGGCACACGAGGGGGTGGGTGGCCAGCACCACGCCCGGCCGCCTTTGTCTCCCCAGTGGCGACGTTTACACACACCGCACCAGGCACTCATTTGAGGCTGAGTCGACCTAGGCGAAGGGCCCAAGACCGGTTGAAGAATCGCCACCGTTATTCGCCGTCAGCGGGAATCGAACTCGGGTCGCCGGGTGCGTAGCGCTAACCGCCGCGCCGCCGCTCCCCGCTAAAGATAAAGGCAAAGATCCCACCCAATATAGCCTTCAACAGACTGTTAGGGCATGTAGAGTCAAGGAGCACACACACAAGATAATATATTCACGTCTATTTATACACACAGTCAATACATGAACACACGCAGAGGCGCGCACACACACACACTCAGAGATGTGTCCGCGTGTTAATATAATATTTTCACGTATTAACACAAACACGGTTTAGATATTAACACACATGAAGGCGTGCACACACACTCACACACAGCGGTGTGTTTTCTGCGTGAGTGTTTGTAATTTCAATTTTTTGTCACGTGGTTTAGTGGTAAACAATTGGAGGTGCAGGGGTTACCAGCCCCCTCGCACCCGACCTTAACGTGCACCTGGCCTGGCACAAGCGCCGTGGTGACGTCACCGCCACTTTAGTGTTGAATGGCGGTTGCTGTTGTTGTCGCTAATGTAACACGTGAACATGTTGACACGCGCACGCAGAGAACACATGAACACACGCCGAGTTGCGCGAATGGTTAAGGTACTAACGCAGTGTGCGCGGTTTTTTTCTGCGGGTTTCGAGTCACGGCAGAATCAGCGCGTGAGTAGCGGTGTATCGTCATCGTCGTCATCATCGTCGTCATCATCGTCGTCATCATTGTCATCATCATCGTGGTCATCGTCATCGTCATCATCGTCGTCATCGTTGTCGTCATCATCGTCATCATCGTCGTCATCATCGTCGTCATCATCATCGTCATCATCGTCATCATCATTGTCGTCATCGTCATCATCATCGTCGTCATCATCGTCGTCATCGTCGTCATCATCGTCGTCATCATCGTCGTCATCATCATCGTCGTCATCGTCATCATCATTGTCGTCATCGTCGTCATCATCGTCGTCATCATCGTCGTCATCGTCGTCATCATCGTCGTCATCGTCGTCATCGTCGTCATCATCATCATCGTCGTCATCGTCATCATCATTGTCGTCATCGTCGTCATCATCGTCGTCATCATCGTCGTCATCATCGTCGTCATCATCGTCGTCATCATCATCGTTGCGATGCCTCCTTCGTTTTTTGTTGTTGTGTGGATCGGGGGCCGTTACGTCGCCACGCGATGCCTGGTGGGTGGTTACCTGTTGCTCGGACCCGCCAGCATTGTGAGACTGTCCATTCTTCGCTCCGCACCTCCGTCATCGGCCGCCGTCATCGGGAGAAGAGACGGATCGCGCGCGTCGGGAGCGGAGAATTCTGTCGCTCTAAAAGCCGCCATCGATCTCCGATGATCTCCGCTCTCCCTTTTGTTTTTGTCTCCCCTTCGCCTCCCTCCCTCCCTCGCTCCCTCCCTCCTACCACCTCCATCACCTCCTCCTCCCTCACCTCCATCTCCCTCCCACCACCACCTCCTCCTGCTCCTCATCCTCCATCTCCCTCATCCTCCATCTCCCCTCCCTCCCACCACCTCCATCACCTCCTCCCGCACCACCATCTCCCTCCATCTCCATCTCCCTCCCACCATCACCTCCTCATCCTCCACCTCCCGCACCTCCATCTCCCTCCCACCACCACCTCCTCCTGCTCCTCATCCATCTCCCCTCCCTCCCACCACCATCTCCACCACCTCCTCCTGCATCTCCCTCCCTCTATCTCCCTCCCACCACCACCTCCTCATCCTCCACTTCCAAACCCTCCCTCCCTCCCACCACCACCTCCTCATCCTCCACTTCCCAACCCTCCCTCCCCGTACGACGACGATGGCTCCCGATGGCTCCCGTGGTCGTCGCCGCCGTCACCGCCGCCGCGTGCCCGTGACAGCAAGCCGGACAGGTGGGCACTTTCGCTCAATCGATGCGTCACAATCATCGAAACCTCCCTCCCATCTCCCCCCCCCCCCCGCTCCCCCGCTCGAGAGGAACATTCTTAAAGGGACGGGGGCGGGCGGGGGGGGGGGTGTCCTTCCGTAATTACCCTTCGCTGTTGATCAACGCCTCCCTTCCTCCGCGGATGATGGGTGGTGGAGGCTGTGGGATGGTGGGGGGGTTGTGGGGGAGGTTCAGTGGCCACGGCCTTCAGCGATGTGCTGCGTCGTCGACTGTGTCGGTTTGTGTTGTCGCGCGTGAAGCCCTTCCACCACCACCATCACCACAGATGTGGACTACCTCGCCTGGCACGCGGGAGGTCGTGGGTTCGATCACAACCCTGACGCCTGCTGTACATTTGGAGTGTCTCTCTCTCTCTCTCTCCCCGCGGTCGCGTGAGTTTTTCTCGAGGTCCCCCGGTTTTTATCCTTTCCACATTTAGAATCGCTTCGAGATGATTTGGCTCCTGCTGTACATTTCCACGTGATGATGACGACGGTGATGATAAGCCCACTTCGTTGAGCAATCGTTTGTGATCGCCAGGTCGCTCGTGAAAAAGAACTCTAATAACTCAGTGGGACATTACCTGCTAAAATAAAAAAAAATGGTTTAGTTTTTAAACAGTCTTAGTTTAGTATGTCCAGCAAAATTTGCTCACTTCAGTTGGCGGGCGACGATCGAAGTGAGGACCTTGACCCTCAAGGGAACGGCGCTACCCCCGTGGTCACCACCCCCAACGCACCTACACCAAGCCATGATCGGTGGACCAAACGAATCACACTTTTGACGCCGGCGTACGGCAGCAGCAGCAGCAGCAGCAGCGAGGGAGCGGTTCAGGCGCGATCGCCGTCGCGAGAGAGGACGCGCGTGTTTGGCACAACGCTCCGTCGCCGGCTCGCAAGCGACGAATGAAAAATCAACGCCACGTGTGAACCCACGTGGTTAACAAACACCGGTGAAGGGTTAGCGTGAAGCAGAGGTCGCAAACGGGTTTTGATTCCTTACCCGTACCCGTACCCGGCCGCACCAGGGTCGCAATCGGGTACCCGTACCCTACCCGATACCCGGCTACCCGTACCTGGCTGGGTATCGGGTAGGGTACGGGTACGAGTACCCGATTGCGACTTCTGGGATGAAGCCATGTTGCAGGCGCGGGTGGGTTGATTCTAGGAACTTGAATTGTGAGAAGAGACAAGACGTTGGGAAATGAGTGACAAACGGTGACTCACCAGTGACTCACGGCCTACCCATACCCGTACCCGGCCGCACCAGGGTCGCAAACGGCTACCCGGCCGGGTACGAGTAGCCGGGTATCGGGTAGGGTACGGGTATCGGGTACCCGATTGCGACCTCTGCCGTTAAGCGCATCGCGGCCGTAACCTCGTGGCGATTCAATCTACACGTCTGCTCCTCAGCGACATCGCTTAACAGATTAGCTTGTTGCGTCGGCTGCGTTCCTCGGGCTTACCTGGTCCTCGGCGTAGGAATGTGGAATTTCCCCCCTCCCCCCCCCCTTTACCGGTTCAGGACCCCCACTGAGCTGTGTAGCTCTTTTTCAGACGCGACCTAGCCACCGAAGTGGGCTTATTATCATCGCGTGGAAATGTGTAGCAGCAAATGACTGTAAAAGCGTGATGTTGATTATAAATGTGGAGGGGAAAAACCGGAGGACCACGGGGAGAACACGCAGATTCCCAACTGTACAGCAGCAGGCGTCAAGGTAGGGATCGAACCCGCGACCTCCTGCATACCAGGCGAGGTAGTTAACATCTCCTAGCCACCGTGATGATGATGAGAGAGAGAGACACGCAGACTCCCAACTATACAGCAGCAGGCGTCAGGGTAGGGATCGAACCCGCGACCTCCTGCATACCAGGCGAGGTAGTTAACATCTCCTAGCCACTGCAAACCAATTAGGTTTGTAACATTTCACCCCACCCGCGCCCCCCCCCCCCTCCACCCACCCACACCCCTCCGATTTGACGAATTTTTTCACAATTGTTCGTCACGTTTCAATTCAAGAATTTAAAAAAATGTTTATCACCATTTCCCGTCTTTTCTCAATCTGCCTCGGCTTCTCTGGCGCGCCAGCTGTAGACACCCCGTTAGTCTAAACGCCGCGGCCGTTAGCAATGTGTTGGTTTTTTCGGCACGCGTAATTTATTTAGCGCTCCGCGCGATCGATTTTTAACCGACGGCTCGTCGCGTCCTCCTGCCGTCGGCGGAGGAGGAGGAGGATCGGTACCACACGAACTCTCCTTTCTCTGCTGAAGCCCCGGACAGAGGTCGCAAACGGGTTTTAATTCCTTACCCGTACCCGTACCCGGCTGTACCCGTACCCTACCCGTATCCGGCCGGGTACGGGTAGGGTACGGGTATCGGGTACCTGATTGCGACCTCTGGGATGAAGCCATGTTGCAGGCGCGGGTGGGTTGATTCTAGGAACTTGAATTGTGAGAAGAGACAAGACTTTGGGAAATGAGTGACAAACAGTTACTCCCCAGTGACTCACGGTCTACCCGTACCCGGCCGCACCAGGGTCGCAAACGGGTACCCGTACCCGGCCGGTTACGGGTAGCCGGGTATCGGGTAGGGTACGGGTATCGGGTACCCGGTTGCGACCTCTGAGCCCCGGGCACCGCACCGCATCGCGGTGACCGCCTTTAGAGGGATCTCTGTTCCTTACTGGGAAGCCGCTGTAGCGAGGCGCTTTTAAATCATCGAGATTGGAAACTAATTTCTTCAGAACCACCCCACGCACCTCGGATTCGTGCGGTCGGCTACGTACAGTGTGAAAGAAGTTCAACCATACGTGCCTATATAGACTCGCATAGAGACCCATAGACTCGCACAGAGACCCATAGACTCACACAGAAGAGACCCATAGACTCGCATCGAGACCCATAGACACACAGCAGAGACCCATAGACTCGCATCGAGACCCATAGACTCACACAGAAGAGACCCATAGACTCGCACAGAGACCCATAGACTCACACAGAAGAGACCCATCGTTCCTTGTCCTTCCCCCTCGCGCACCTCCGATTGGCAGTGGTGGCGGTGGTGGCAGTGTCGGTAGTGGTGGCGGTGGCGGTAGCGGTGGCGGTAGCGATGGTGGTGGCAGTGGTGGCGGTCGTGGCAGTGATGGTGGTGGTGATGGCGTTAGTGATGGTGGCGGTTGTGGTGGCGGTCGTGGCGGTCGTGGTGGTGGCAGTGGCGGTGGTGGCGGTGGTGGCGGCGGTGACAGCGCCGTGAAGGACGTCGCCGCTCTCCCCCCCCCCCCTCTCGCGTCTCCCCCCCCCCCGCCGCCGCTACGGCTCCCCAGCGGGCCGTGGCGTGGCGCTCGTTAGGAAGACGGTGATCACGCGCCGCCGTTAGCCAGAGCTGATGGTTATGCAAATGTGCGTGCTGCCACGCGTGAGCTACCACCGCCACCCTCATCCTCACCACTAACACCACCACCCTCCTCCTCACCACCACCGCCACCCTCCTCACTACCACCACCCTCCTCACTACCACCACCACCCTCCTCACCACCACCACCACCCTCCTCACCACCACCACCCTCCTCACCACCACCACCCTCCTCCTCACCACTAACACCACCACCCTCCTCCTCACCACCACCGCAACCCTCCTCACTACCACCACCCTCCTCACCACCACCGCCACCCTCCTCACCACCACCACCCTCCTCACCACCACCGCCACCCTCCTCACCACCACCACCCTCCTCACCACCACCACCACCCTCCTCACTACCACCACCCTCCTCACCACCACCACCACCCTCCTCACTACCACCACCCTCCTCACCACCACCACCACCCTCCTCACTACCACCACCCTCCTCACCACCACCACCACCCTCCTCACTACCACCACCCTCCTCACCACCACCGCCACCCTCCTCACCACCACCGCCACCCTCCTCACTACCACCACCCTCCTCACCACCACCACCCTCCTCACCACCACCACCACCCTCCTCACCACCACCACCCTCCTCACCACCACCCTCCTCACCACCACCGCCACCCTCCTCACCACCACCGCCACCCTCCTCACCACCACCACCCTCCTCACCACCACCACCACCCTCCTCACCACCACCACCCTCCTCACCACCACCACCCTCCTCCTCACCACCACCACCACCCTCCTCCTCACCACCACCACCACCCTCCTCACCACCACCACCACCCTCCTCCTCACCACCACCACCACCCTCCTCACCACCACCACCACCCTCCTCACCACCACCACCCTCCTCGTCACCACCACCGCCACCCTCCTCACCACCACCACCACCCTCCTCACCACCACCACCCTCCTCCTCACCACCACCACCACCCTCCTCACCACCACCACCACCCTCCTCCTCACCACCACCACCACCCTCCTCACCACCACCACCACCCTCCTCACCACCACCACCCTCCTCCTCACTGCCACCACCACCCTCCTCACCACCACCACCCTCCTCCTCACCACCACCACCACCCTCCTCACCACCACCACCACCACCCTCCTCACCACCACCACCACCCTCCTCGTCACCACCACCGCCACCCTCCTCACCACCACCACCACCCTCCTCACCACCACCACCCTCCTCCTCACCACCACCACCACCCTCCTCACCACCACCACCACCACCCTCCTCACCACCACCACCACCCTCCTCGTCACCACCACCGCCACCCTCCTCACCACCACCACCACCCTCCTCACCACCACCACCCTCCTCGTCACCACCACCACCACCCTCCTCACCACCACCACCACCCTCCTCACCACCACCACCCTCCTCCTCACTGCCACCACCACCCTCCTCACCACCACCACCACCCTCCTCCTCACCACCACCACCACCCTCCTCACCACCACCACCACCCTCCTCACCACCACCACCACCCTCCTCCTCACCACCACCGCCACCCTCCTCACCACCACCACCACCCTCCTCACCACCACCACCCTCCTCCTCACCACCACCACCACCCTCCTCCTCACTGCCACCACCACCCTCCTCACCACCACCCTCCTCACCACCACCACCACCCTCCTCCTCCTCCTCACCACCACCACCCTCCTCACCACCACCACCACCACCCTCCTCACTACCACCACCACCCTCCTCACCACCACCACCCTCCTCACCACCACCACCCTCCTCACCACCACCACCACCCTACTCACTACCACCACCACCCTCCTCACCACCACCACCCTCCTCACCACCACCACCACCATCCTCACCACCACCCTCCTCACCACCACCACCACCCTCCTCCTCCTCACCACCACCACCCTCCTCACCACCACCACCCTCCTCACCACCACCACCCTCCTCCCCGCTGCCGCTGCCAGCGCCACGGGTGCCGTTACGCGGTGGCGAGCGGCGCGCTGATTTGTGCGGTTGTGGTTTGTGACCACGGAGTGGAGTTTGTGGTCTGTGAGGCTGTTGTTACTGCTCGTGCGTGCGCTGTGTACTCAACGGGGTAGGTAGCGAGCAGGGGAGCGGTGGCGCAGCGGTTAGGGCGCTGCGCTACGTGCGTGCGTGCGCTGTGTACTCAACGGGGTAGGTAGCGAGCAGGGGAGCGGTGGCGCAGCGGTTAGGGCGCTGCGCTACGCGCGTGCGCTGTGTACTCAACGGGGTAGGTAGCGAGCAGGGGAGCGGTGGCGCAGCGGTTAGGGCGCTGCGCTACGCGCGTGCGCTGTGTACTCAACGGGGTAGGTAGCGAGCAGGGGAGCGGTGGTGCTGCGGTTAGGGCGCTGCGCTACGCGCGTGCGCTGTGTACTCAACGGGGTAGGTAGCGAGCAGGGGAGCGGTGGCGCTGCGGTTAGGGCGCTGCACTACGTGCGTGCGCTGTGTACTCAACGGGGTAGGTAGCGAGCAGGGGAGCGGTGGCGCTGCGGTTAGGGCGCTGCACTACGTGCGTGCGCTGTGTACTCAACGGGGTAGGTAGCAAGCAGGGGAGCGGTGGCGCTGCGGTTAGGGCGCTGCGCTACGAACCCGGCAGGGAGCCGAGTTTGATTCCCGCTCACGGCCACCGACACCGCCGACGATTATCTGAACCGCTACTGGGCCTTCCCTAGGTCGACTCGGCCTCAAATGAGTACCTGGTGCGGTGTTTGTAAACGACAAAGGCGTCCGGGCGTGGTGCTGGCCACCCCACCCCCTCGTGAGCTGTTCCGGCCTTCAACTGCACTTGCCCCAACAGTCTGCTTACAGGCTATAGGGGGGATCTTTGTCTTTGTGCGTGCTCGTCCTGTTGCACTCAAAGGCAGAGGCGGCGTTGGCGGGGAGCGGTGGAGCAGCGGTTGTTAGCGGGAGCGGTTTGACAAATTCCTCACGCATCTTTAAACTAAATTAAACTTACTAGGTAAGGCCCACTGAGCTACATCGCTATTTTTCAGAAGCGACCTCTGGCTATCACAAAGCATAGCCCAAGGAAGTGGCTTACCACCATCAAACCCACGACCTCCTGTATACCAGGCGAGGTAGTTAACATCTCCTAGCCACCGTGATGATGATGATGACAGAGAGAGAGACACGCAAACTCCACATATACAGCAGCAGGCATTGTCAGGGTTAGGATCGAAGCCACGACCTCCTGTATACCAGGCGAGGTAGTTGACATCTCCTAGCCACTGTGATGATGATGAGAGAGAGAAAGACACGCAAACTCCAAATATACAGCAGGTATTGTCAGGGTTAGGATCGAAGCCACGACCTCCTGTATACCAGGCGAGGTAGTTGACATCTCCTGGCCAACGTGATGATGATGAGAGAGAGACACGCAAACTCCAAATATGCAGCAGGCATTGTCAGGGTTAGGATCGAAGCCACGACCTCCTGTATACCAGGCGAGGTAGTTAACATCTCCTAAGCACTGTGATGATGATGATGAGAGAGAGAGAGACACGCAAACTCCAAATATACAGCAGGCATTGTCAGGGTTAGGATCGAACCCACGACCTCCTGTACACCAGGCGAGGTAGTCAACATCGCCTAGGCACCGCACAGCCCTCAATTCGGGGGTGCTCTTGATTGGCGGAAGGGCCTCCTTCTCCACAGGCGCGGTAACAATTGGCTGCGTCCTCTCTAAAAGTGCCTGAAAACGTCAACGTCTCAAACCCGTGGAAGGAGTTCAACCCCAACCGCCGCAGCCGGTCCACAGCGAATAACCATTTCTCGAAAAGCAACAACAACAACATCATCAACAACAAACTGAACTAATCCAGGGCCAGCCGTTTCCCCCAAACCACCCACGCACCCCCTCCTCCTCCTCTCACTCTCTTGCTCACTCTCTTTTCTTTTTTACGATCAAAGGAAACAAGAAGATGATCGGTGTAGTCGGCACTTTGCTTCGTTCATCATTTCGTTTTTAAATCTTTTATATTAAGTTCGCTTGCTTGCTTGCTTGCGACCGTGCAAAGACAGACTCGTTGTGCGTAACAATTAATTTTCGTGAACATTTTTTTCCAAAATTTTATACTGTTTAGCGAAAAAAAAAATTTAATTACCAATTGCTTAATGCTGGCAGACAATCATCTGACCCATAGGTGGCAGCCATCTCAAGCCAGAGGACGAGAGGACTCTAGCCGCCACGCATATAAAGGATTTAGAGTGAAAAACTTTGTTTTTACGGGTTAATTTTTTAAGTTTTCTCTTCGAGTAGTCCCCATGCAGTGTTCTCGCTAACGGCCGTTTTAATTGCCCCACTCGCTTAGAGCGGAACACCTTCACGCGACGCAGCCTCTATGTATCTCTATGGATCTGTATGTCTTTCTACGGATCTCTATGTGTCTCTGTGGGTTTCTATGGGTCTCTAAGCCACTTCGTTGAGCTGTCATTTGTGATAAGCCAGGGTCGCTTCTGGAATAAGAGCTGCGTAGATCAGTGGGGCCTTATCTGGTAAAATAAAAATGTTTCATTTAGTCAATGGGTATATATGTATCTGTATGGGTATCTATGTATCTTTAATTGTCTTTGTGTGTGGCCTACCCATACCCGGGTACGGGTAGGCCGTGAGTCACTGGTGAGTAACCGTTTGTCACTCATTTCCCAACGTCTTGTCTCTTCTCACAATTCAAGTTCCTAGAATCAACCCACCCGCGCCTGCAACATGGCTTCATCCCAGAGGTCGCCTACCCGATACCCGTCCGGGTACGGGTAGCCGGGTATCGGGTAGGGTACGGGTATAGGGTACGGGTAGCCGGGTATCGGGTAGGGTACGGGTATCGGGTACCCGATTGCAACCTCTGCTCTGCACCACCCCCCCTCCCCACCCCCCCAGGAAGCGCAGTGACTCGGACCCCACCAAGCCCATCCTGCTGGGAGACGCGCGGCCGGCAGGCCGTGGATCCTCCGGCGGGGGTGGCGCCGGCGCCGGGCCCGGCGGGACGGCGGCGCCGGCGGGCGGCGGCGGCGCCGGCGGCGGTGCCGGTGCCGCCGAGGTGTTCGGGAAGGAGAACGCGGCCGCCTCTCAGCAGCCGACGGACCCCGTGGAGCTGAGACGCATCAACTTCCAGACGCCAGGTGCAGTTGCCGATGATGATGTCCCAGTAGCACAAGCAGCTACGCGTGTAGCTACGGGCCCCGCACTTTATAGGGCCCCCGCGCGAAATGCTTTCAAGCTTTCAATTCCGGTCCGGTGATTCTGTACTTGCTCTATTGCGAAAGTACTATACCGCCTTCAACTTTTACGAACGACTGGGTGTTTGAGGTTAGCGATTTGTCGTATAGACTCACACAGCAGAGGCTCATAGACTCACACAGCAGAGACCTATAGACTCACACAGCAGAGACCCATAGACACACACAGCAGAGACCCATTGACTCACACGGCAGAGACCCATAGACTCACACAACAGAGACCTATAGACTCACACAGCAGAGACCCATAGACACACACAGCAGAGACCCATAGACTCACACGGCAGAGACCCATAGACTCACACAGCAGAGACCCATAGACTCACACGGCAGAGACCCATAGACTCACACGGCAGAGACCCATAGACTCACACAGCAGAGACCCATAGACACACACAGCAGAGACCCATAGACTCACACACAGACACCCATAGACTCACACACAGACACCCATAGACTCACACAGCAGAGACCCATAGACTCACACACAGACCCATAGACTCACACAACAGAGACCCACAGTTTGTTGTCCTGCCCCCCGGCACCTGCCATTAGCACGGCTGGCTCTGTGTGCACTCACGTGCAGAGGTGGCGGCCTTCGTGAGTGACAGCTGCGCTCGCTGGCTCCGGCTCTCTTCACGACGCCATAGACTCACACAGAGACCCATCGACTCACACAGAGACCCATCGACTCACACAGAGACCCATCGACTCACACAGAGACCCATCGACTCACACAGAGACCCATAGACTCACACAGAGACCCATCGACTCACACAGAGACCCATCGACTCACACAGAGACCCATAGACTCACACAGAAGATACCCATAGACTCGCACAGAGACCCATAGACTCGCACAGAGACGCATAGTCACACACAGAGACCCACAGACTCACACACAGACCCATAGACTTACACAGCAGAGACCCATAGACTCACACACAGACCCATAGACCCACACAGCAGAGACCCATAGACTCACACGGCAGAGACCCACAGTTTGTTGTCCTGCCCCCCGGCACCTGCCATTAGCACGGCTGGCTCTGTGTGCACTCACGTGCAGAGGTGGCGGCCTTCGTGAGTGACAGCTGCGCTCGCTGGCTCCGGGCTCTCTTCACGGCGCCGCCGTTACGAACCGCGTGGCCTCTCAACTCCCTCTCCTGCCCCTTTCGCCGAGTGTGGAGTTGCGCAAGCTTCTGCTTCGCCGCTTTCTTGCGCACAACTCTTCCCGTTTGCCATCTACTATTATAGATATTTCATAATTTAAAAAAAAAAATTATCTTTATTTATGAAAAAAAATTGTGAATTTATTTTTTTCAGAGCTATATTTTTCAAAAAATTCTAATCTATTTTTTCAAATATAATTGGACAAATTATATATTTTATAATAGTTTTTTTATATTATCTATATTTATATTTCTATAATTGTATTTTTTTATAATGTACATTTTTTCATTAAAAAAATGTGAGAATTTTTTTATTTTATAATTTACTTCGTACATCTTTCTCTAATTTATTTTTTTACCACCCTCCCTTCCCTTCCTCTCCGCTCTCCTCGGTGTTTTCCCCCCGCCGACCCCCCCCCCCCCCCCCACATGAACCTGTTTGCCGCCTCTCCAAGCCGGCGATTTTTCTTGCGAATACTGAAACGGGTATCCCCAGGCGAGGCAATTAATGTCTCCTAGCCACCGTGGTACCCTATCCACGTGACCACCACGCAGAGAGACGGAGAGACGCGCAAAAACTTTAAATATTCAAGCAGGCGATGGGTGATTTGAGATGGCAACCCACAACCTCCTGTATCCCCAGGCGAGGTAGTTAACATCTCCTAGCCACCGTGGTACCCTATCCACGTGACCACCACGGAGAGAGACGGAGAGACGCGCAAAAACTTGAAATATTCAAGCAGGCGATGGGGGGTTCGAGATGGCAACCCACGACCTCCTGTATTCCCAGGCGAGGTAGTTAACATCTCCTAGCCACCGCGGAACCCCCAAGATGGATTTGCCACACGGCAGGATCCCGTGACGGATGGCTTAAGGCACGCTGGCATCCGTCCAGCAGCGGATCGGTCGAACGTCCCCGGAGCAAGATGCTCTTGATAAGAGCCTTAAGATTCAGTGGCACTCTCCTTGGGTTCTGTACGTACGTGCGTACGGTTCAACTTCTTTCGCGCCGTACGTAGCCAACCGTGCAAAATCAGAGATGCGGAAGGGGGGGGGAAGGACAAGAAACTAAACACAAAAAGCGATTCTAAATCAATGAGTTTTCAAACTAGATTTAAAGGTACGTAGTTCCAGTGGCTTCCTAATGCATGCATGTTGAACTTCTTTCGCGCCGTACGCAGCCAACCGTGCTAATCGGAGGCACGGGAAATATCGGAAGGAGGAGAGCGTTCCAGACGGCCGCTGAAAGCGCCGCGCGATGCCGGTGACCGTCTTTTTTTTTTTAGATGCTCAGCCACAAGCCGCCGCCGCTGCTGCTGCTCGCGAAGATGACCGGAGTTTGCGTGATGTTGGTTTTCCCTCCTCTCCTGACGCGCTGTCATCTCCTCCTCCTCCTCCTGCCTCTCTTCTCTCTCCCCCCTCCTCTCTCCTCCCCCTTCTCCTCCCCCCTCCTCCATCTCCCTCCCTTCCTCCCCCCTTCTCCTCCCCCCTCCCTCCTTCCCCCTCCTCCTGCCTCCTCCTCCCTCCTCTCTTCTCTCTCCTCCCTCCCTCCCTCCTTCCCCCCTCCTCTCCCCTCCTCCACCTCCCTCCCTCCTTACCCCCTCCTCCCTCCCTCCCTCCCTCCTCCTTCCCCCTCCTCCTCCTGCCTCCTCCCCCCTCCTCTCTTCTCTCTCCTCCCTCCCTCCTTCCCCCCTCCTCCACCTCCCTCCCTCCTCCTCCTCCTTCCCCCCTCCTCCTCCTCCTGCCTCCCTCCTCCTTCCCCCCTCCTCCTCCTCCTCCTCCCTCTCTCCTCCCTCCTCCTCCCCCCCTCCTCCTCCCTCCCTCCCCCCTCCTCCTCCCCCCCTCCTCTCCCCTCCTCCACCTCCCTCCTCCTTTCCCCCTCCTCCCCCTCCCTCCCTTCCTCCCCCCCTCCTCCTCCCCCCCCTCCTCCTCCCTCCCTCCTCCCTCCTCCTCCCCCCCTCCTCCTCCTCCTGCCTCCCTCCTCCTTCCCCCCTCCTCTCCCCTCCTCCACCTCCCTCCTCCTTCCCCCCTCCTCCACCTCCCTCCCTTCCTCCACCTCCTTCCCCCCTCCTCCCCCTCCCTCCCTTCCTCCCCCCCTCCTCCTCCCCCCCTCCTCCTCCCTCCCTCCTCCCTCCTCCTCCCCCCCTCCTCCTCCTCCTGCCTCCCTCCTCCTTCCCCCCTCCTCTCCCCTCCTCCACCTCCCTCCTCCTTCCCCCCTCCTCCACCTCCCTCCCTTCCTCCACCTCCTTCCCCCCTCCTCCCCCTCCCTCCCTTCCTCCCCCCCTCCTCCTCCCCCCCTCCTCCTCCCTCCCTCCTCCCTCCTCCTCCCCCCCTCCTCCTCCTCCTGCCTCCCTCCTCCTTCCCCCCTCCTCTCCCCTCCTCCACCTCCCTCCTCCTTCCCCCCTCCTCCACCTCCCTCCCTTCCTCCCCCCCTCCTCCTCCCCCCCTCCTCCTCCCTCCCTCCTCCCTCCTCCTCCCCCCCTCCTCCTCCCTACCTCCTCCCTCCTCCTTCCCCCCTCCTCCCCCCTCCTCCTCCTGCCTCCTCCTCTCTTCTCCCCCCCCCCTCCTCCTCCCTCCCTCCTCCTTCCCCCCTCCCCCCTCCTCCACCTCCCCCCTCCTCCACCTCTCTTCCTCCTCCTACCTCGTCCTACACTCGTTGGCCGCTGTCAAGTCTCATTGATCACCCCCCCCCCGCCTGCCCCCCCCCCGCCTGCCGACCCCTTGCCCCCTAGGCATGATGAGTCACCCGCCCATCGCCGTGGAGGAGCTGGCGGGCCACGTGGAGCGGCTCAAGGCCAACGACAACATGCTGTTCGCGCAGGAGTACGAGGTGACGCGGCCGCCGCTCGCCACAATCCACAACGTGGAGAAATACGACGAGCTATGAAGCTCTTTGTCACGGGGGGGGGTTGGGGGGGTGGGGGGGGGAGGGGGGGGTGGGAGGTCAAAGGCCACGGCGCAGCCCAGAATGCCTGGCAAGATATAAAAAAGATTGTTTAGTTTCAAAAAAATTTGCAGCGATTTGTTATTTTCTTGGTTCTTTCGGTAAAGTCACGTAGAAGGGAAATAATAAAACAATATTTTTTTTATTTTGTTATTTCCCTTCTACGTGACTTTACCGAAAGAACCAAGAAGATGAATCCCTGCAGTCACGAAAGCTTTCAATCGAGATTTGTTATTTGTTCACCTTCCCGATACACTTTGCATTCCTACCGCGTCGTTTGCGTGCTTTTGTGTTCGTTGCTGTCACGTTCGGCGACTCGCCAACGGCGCTCGCCAACGACAGTCCATCGTCGGCTTCGCCGTGGGGGGAAGGGGGCGGGGGGGGTTGACCTTGGTCTTTGTTTCTCTCCTTGCAGTCCATCGACCCGGGGCAGCAGTTCACGTGGGAGCACTCGAACCTGGAGGTGAACAAGCCCAAGAACCGCTACGCCAACGTCATCGCCTACGACCACTCGCGCGTGCTGCTGGCGCCCGTGGACGGTGAGTTAGCGGCACGCCCGACCGACCGACCCTACCCGACCCGCTTAGACTTACACCACGGTGATGACGCGGTGGCTAGGAGATGTTGACTACTTCGCCTGGTGTACAGGAGGTCGTGGGTTCGATCCCGACCCCTGACGCCTGCTGTATATTTGGAGTTTGTGTGTCTCTCTCTCTCATCATCATCACGGTGGCTAGGAGATGTTGACTACCTCGCCTGGTGTACAGGAGGTCGTGGGTTCGATCCCGACCCCTGACGACGCCTGCTGCTGTATTTGGAGTTTGCGTGTCTCTCATCATCATCATCACGGTGGCTAGGAGATGTTGACTACCTCGCCTGGTGTACAGGAGGTCGTGGGTTCAATCCTGACCCCTGACACCTGCTGCTGTACATTTGGAGTTTGCATGTCTTTCTCTCTCTCTCTCTCATCATCTTGGTGGCTAGGAGATGTTAACTACCTCGCCTGGTGTACAGGAGGTCGTGGGTTCGATCCTGACCCCTTACGATGCCTGCTGCTGTATTTGGAGTTTGCGTGTCTCTCATCATCATCACGGTGGCTAGGAGATGTTGACTACCTCACCTGGTATGCAGGAGGTCGTGTGTTCGATCCCGACCCCTGATGCCTGCTGCTGTCTATTTCGAGTTTGCGTCTCTCTCTCATCATCATCATCACGGTGGCTATGAGACGTTGACTACCTCGCCTGGTATGCAGGAGGTCGTGGGTTCAATCCCGACCCCTGACGCCTGCTGCTGCTGTATATTTGGACTTGAAGCTTTCGTGACTGCAGGAATTCATATTCTTTGGGTCTTTCGGCAAAGTCACGTGGATAGGTTCAAAGAAATTTTAAAAAAACGTTTGTTATTTTCTTTGAACCTATCTTCGTGACTTTACCCAAAGACCCCAACAAAAATGTGGAGTTTGCATTTCTCTCTCTTCCCCTGGTGAGATGTTGACTACCTCGCCTGGTATACAGGAGTCTACGTATTTCTGTCCCCGGCCGTCTTTGTCTCCCCCGGTGGCGATCTTTACTGCACACCGCACCGCACCAGGTTACTCATTTGAGGCTGAGTCGACCTAGGGGAGGAGGCCTAGGACCGGTTTCAGATAATAGCCATCGCTGGGTGTTGGTGGTGGCCGTGAGCGGGAATCAATGCCGTGTCGTAGCCGGGGTTCGTAGCGCAGCGCCAACCGCGACACGACCCCGCTCCCCGCACGGACACCAGGCGGAGGGGCTACGCTTGCTTGTCTCTGTGTGTGTGTGTGTTGAACATCTCGGTCATCTCGGTCAGTCGACCCGTGGCACCTGCTGGGTCTGCCCCGTGACCTCCTGTCAGCGGGCGTTCGACACTTCACGTGGTGGCCTCAAGGTGCACATGGCCTGGCACAAGCGTCGTGGTGACGTCACCGCCACTTAGTGGCGAATGGCGGTTGTTGTTGTTTTACTTCTTTCGCACCGTACAGCGCAGCGCCAGCCGCCGTTACCGGCACCACCAGCGGCTACACCACCGGCCCCCCCCCCCTCCCTCTCCCCCCTCTCGGGCTGTCAACCGCTCTCTCTCTCGCTCGCTCTCTCCCTCGCTCTCTCGCTCACCCTCTCGCTCTCTCCCTTGCTCTCTCGCTCGCTCTCTCGCTCACCCTCTCTCGCTCGCTCTCTCGCTCGCCCCCTCTGGCTCGCTCTCTCGCTCTCTCCCTCGCCCCCTCTGACTCGCTCTCTCGCTCGCCCTCTCGCTCGCTCTCTCGCTCGCCCTCTCTCTCGCCCTCTGGCTCGCTCTCTCGCTCGCTCTCTCGCTCGCCCTCTCGCTCGCGATCGACGCCGCTCTCGATCTCGCGACGCCGCAGGAGCCTGCAAGGAGTGTTTTTTTTTTTCCTGGCGCACCGTTCAATTAGCCGCTCTCTCTCGCGCCGCACTTAGTGGGTTCCGGGGCATCATTATCGGCGCGTAACGGCAGCGAGACCGCACGAGCGGCAGCGAGACCGCCTGCCCGCCCCCCCCCCCCCCCCCCGCTCCAGTGCCTCTTAATTACATTTTAATGTGAGTCCTCATTGAATTTCCTTACTTTCCGTGCTTAGCTTTAATTGCGCGGGAATATTTTCTTTTTCCTCCTCGCGCGTTATCTGCAAAGCAGCAGACGTGATTTAGCCTCGGGGAGAGAGAGAGAGAGAAGGAAGGAAGGGAAAAGAAATGTTTTATAATGTAATATTGGAAACGCGTGTATGTGCATATATCTATATCAATTAATTTGTCTCGAAACCCAACAGTTGCTAAGTTTCTGCGGGAAGAAATGTCCCGACGACACGCACAGAGCGACTCAACGGTAGCCGTCAACAGCAACCGCCTTCAAAGGAAACGTGATGTTGACTATAATAATTCTGCTAGAGACCAGAATCGGGTGGATTGCTTCACTCTACTGGCAAATATCCCGATTGTCGCTGGGTGATGTAATTACCGGCGAGACGACACGGCACTCCGCAAGTTGTAAACGTTGTGGGTTTACTCTCCAACACACCGGTGGGCTGAAGTAGTACACTCAAACACAAAGACACCCACACACACAAAGACATTAACACACAGACACACACAAAGATACTCACACACAGACACACTCATACACACAGACACACTCACACACAGACACACACACAGACACAAACACACACACAGAGACACTCACACAAAGACACTAACACACAAAGACACTCACACACAGACACACACAAAGATACTCACACACAGACACACTCATACACACAGACACACTCACACACAGACACACACACACAGACACACACAGACACACACACACAGACACACTCACACACACAAAGACACTCACACACAGACACTCACATACACACAGAGACACTCACACAGAGACACACACACAGACACACACACAGACACACACAGACACACTCACACACACACACAAAGACACTCACACACAGACACACACACAAAGACACTCACACACAGACACACACAAAGATACTCACACACAGACACACACACACACACAGACACACTCACACACACACAAAGACACTCACACACACTCATACACACACCACCACCGCTGTCGCCACCACGGTGATCACGCTCCCCGATGCGACTCGTAGCAGCGTGCTCTTCCGTGCTGCGTGAATATTCATTCACTCGTTTTGCATCGGCTCGCTTCACTTTTCCTCTCTCAAGTCCTGCTGCCATTGCTTGTAGTTGTGAACGGAAAGAAATCATCTTCATTGCCACCGTCACATTCCTCCTCCGCCTTCTCCAGTTATAAATAAAGATTCCCAAAATGTCTTGAAGGTTCAGCCGTCTGCCGGAACGTGTCCGTGCGTTGAACTTCTTTCGCGCCGTACGTAGCCGACCGCGCTGGTCGGAGGCGCGGGGGATGGACAACAAACTAAACACAAAAAGCAGTAGTCCTAAAGCAACGAGTTTGGCAATCGATATTATTTGAAAGAGCGTAAATCCCAGCGGCTTCCTAATATCGGAAGCAAGAGCGTTCCAGACGGCCGCAGAGGCGCATTTGAAAGCGATGCGACGACCGTCTTTGTATGTGTGTACGTACCTTGAACTTCTTTCACGCCGTACGTAGCCGACCGTGCTAACCGGAGGTGCAGGGGGGAGGGAATGCCAACAAACTAAACACGCAAAAACCGCTGCTGCTGCTGCTGCTGCGAAGGCGATGACCGGAGTTCGCGCGACGATGGTTTATGCCAACCACGCTAATCGGAGCGTCCGGTGCGCCCACCCCCTCTCCCTCCCCCCCACCCCCCCCCCTCCCGTCTCCTCCGCCGCAGGAGAGCCCGGGAGCGACTACATCAACGCCAACTACATGGACGGCTACCGCAAGCACAACGCCTACATCGCCACGCAGGGCCCGCTGCCCGAGACCTTCGCCGACTTCTGGAGGATGGTGTGGGAGCAGCGCAGCGCCACCGTCGTCATGATGACCAAGCTGGAGGAGCGCTCGCGGGTACGGCCGAGGCGGCAGCGGCGGCGCCGTCTTCGGCGGGCGGTGGGGGCGGCGGTGCGGTGCGGTCGATTGGGTTGAGCTTCGCCAGAAGGCGGCGGTGGGGGGGGGGGGCGGTCGATTGGGTTGAGCGTCGCCGGAAAGCGGCGGGGGCAGTGCGGTCGATTGAGTTGAGTTTCGCCGGAAAGCGGGGGTGGGGGGGGGCGGTCTCGGCCCAACCTCCGGCGCTGTGCAGAGAAATCGGGACGCTCCGTAGGAAGGAACGTCTCGCAGGAAGGGGCGGATGAGGTGGGAGAGGCGGCGGGGAGAGTGGAGGGGTGGAGGAAGGCTGCGAATCCCGGGACGAAGCAGCACAGGTGGCGGTAACGGGACGCAAGACGACCGTCCCTGGCATCGCGAGCGAGAGAGAGGGAGATACGTGTTTAGTAATCATCAGGCGTGAGTAAACGGCGGGGGGGGGGGGGGTGGGTGGTGCGGGGGGGGGGAAGTCGCCCGCGTTGTCGTTGCTCGCGATGTCCGAGCCGACGGTTCGTTGACGCCGCCAGATCCGGCTCCTTTTGCCACTTCGACGTAAATCGACGACGACGATGACGACGTCGATGACGTCACCGCTGCTGCCCCCCCCCCACCCCACCCCTCCCACCCCCCGTACCACCCCCGCCAGGTGAAGTGTGACCGCTACTGGCCGGCGCGCGGCTCGGAGACGTACGGGACGCTGACCGTGGCGCTGCAGGACACCATGGAGCTGGCGACGTACTGCGTCCGCACGTTCACGCTGCAGAGGGTGAGGCCCCCGCGCGCCTCCTAGACTTTGTCGGGCGTTCCGACGCGTGCCGGCGCGAGACGGTGAGATCGACGCGTCGCCGTCCCGCGGCGCTTACGGACGCGCTTCGGGCGGCCGTTTGGACATCCCGCCCTTCCCCTGCGATGTTGGGAAGCCGTTGGGAGCTGCGTGCGTATGTACAGTGGGTCCTGTGAGAGGGGGAGAAGGTGGAGAGAAGAAGTTGCCTTTGGAGTGGGCGCCGGCGGTGGAGAGATGTTAACTACCTCGCCTGGTGTACAGGAGGTCGTGGGTTCGATCCCGACCCTGACGACGCCTGCTGCTGTATATTTGAAGTTTGCGTGTCTCTCTCATCATCACGGCGGCTAAGAGATGTTAACTACCTCGCCTGATGTGCAGGAGGTCGTGGGTTCGATCCCGACCCTGACGACGCCTGCTGCTGTATATTTGGAGTTTGCGTGTCTCTCTCTCTCTCCTCATCATCACGGCGGCTAGGAGATGTTAACTACCTTGCCTGGTGTACAGGAGGTCGTGGGTTCGATCCCGACCCTGACGACGCCTGCCGCTGTATATTTGGAGTTTGTGTATCTCTCTCTCGTCATCACGGCGGCTAGGAGATGTTAACTACCTCGCCTGGTGTGCAGGAGGTCGTGGGTTCGATCCCGACTCTGACGACGCCTGCTGCTGCTGTACATTTGAAGTTTGCGTGTCGCTCTCCCCGTGGTCACGTGGATTTCTCTCCGGGTCCTCCGTTTTTTCTCCCTCCACATTTAGGATCAACGTCACCACGCGTTCTGAGTGTTTGTCCGCGACACATTGCCACGCTTCGTCGAGCTCTCATTTGCGATCGGCCAGGTCGCTTGCGAGAAAGAGCTCGATGTGGGCCCTTCACCGGTGAAATACTTCAGCCCAGTGAAGCCCTACGTAGCCACAGAGTCACGTGACAGCCTTCCCCACCTTCCCCACCCCCCGGCAGGGAGGTGGCGGGGAGCGGCGGGAGGTGCGGCAGTTCCAGTTCACGGCGTGGCCGGACCACGGCGTCCCCGAGTACCCGACGCCCTTCCTGGCGTTCCTGCGGCGCGTCAAGGCCTGCAACCCGCCCGACGCGGGCCCCATGGTGGTGCACTGCAGGTGGGTGCCCAGATGACGACGCTCGTGGCGGTGGTGGTAGTGGTGGTGGAGGGTGGTGTTGGTGGCGGTGGTGGAGGGTGGTGGCGGTGGTGGAGGGTGGTGTTGGTGTTGGTGGTGGTGTTATCGGTGGAGGTATCGGTGGAGGGTGGTGTTGGTGGCGGTGGGGGTGGTGGTGATGGCGGTGGTGGTAGTGGTGGCGGTGGTGGAGGGTGGTGTTGGTGGTGGTGGGTGGTGTTGGTGGTGGTGGTGGTGGCGGTGGTGGTAGCGGTAGTGGTGGAGGGTGGTGTTGGTGGCGGTGGTGGCGGTGGTGGTAGTGGTGGAGCGTGATGTTGTGGCGGTGGTGGTGGTGGTGGTAGCGGTGGAGGGTGGTGTTGGTGGCGGTGGTGATAGTGGTGGAGTTTGGTGTTGGTGGTGGCGGTGGTGGTAGCGGTAGTGGTGAGGGTGGTATTGGTGGCGGTGGTGGTGGTGGTAGCGGTGGAGGGTGGTGTTGGTGGCGGTGGTGATAGTGGTGGTGTGGTGGTAGTGGTGGCGGTGGTGGTAGCGGTAGTGGTGGAGGGTGGTGTTGGTGGCGGTAGTGGTGGTGGCGGTGGTGGTGGAGGGTGGTGTTGGTGGGTGGTGTTGGTGGTGGTAGCGGTAGTGGTGGAGGGTGGTGTTGGTGACGGTGGTGGTGGTGGTGGTGGCGGTGTTGGTGGCGGTGGTGGTAGTGGTGGAGGGTGGTGTTGGTGGTGGTGGAGGAGGTGGTGCTGGCCACCCACCCACACGTGTGCCGTGCCGGCCTTCATAGGCGCTACTCGCCAACAGCACTTGCCTCAACAATCTGTTAGGGCTATACGGGGGACCTTTGTCTTTGGAGAGGGGCGGTGGTGGTGGTGGTGATTGTTGTGATGGTGGTGTGCTGCAGGTGCTGAGACAACGCTCGGGCGGTGGTGGTGGTGGTGGAGGAGAGGATGGTGGTGGTGGTGGTGGTGGAGGAGAGGGTGGTGGTGGTGGTGGTGGAGGAGAGGGTGGTAGTGGTGGCAGCGGTGGTGGTAGTGGTAGAGAGGGTGGTAGTGGTGGTGGTGGTGGTGGAGGGGGTGGTGGTGGTGGTGGAGGGGGTGGTGGTGGGTAGTAGCCGGTGGTTGTGGTACTGGTGGTGCTTGTTGGCGGTGATGGTTGTGGTGATGTCGGGGCGATGGCAGAGGGTCGTGGTCTTGGTACAGGCGGTCCCCGCCGGGTTACGGACGGGTTAGGTTCCCGCAAGAACGATCCGTAACCCGAATATTCCGCACGTCGGACACGTAAATGTGACAAACCTCACAAGGTGGCGTCATTAACGACGCGTTCATATATTCACTCGATCTAACCCAACAACAACAACAAAAACCCCGCGTTGCTCACCACGACGTTGCCGGCACCCGCCCCCCTCCGCCCCAGCGCCGGCGTGGGCCGCACGGGCTGCTTCGTGGCGCTGGACGCCGCGCTGGAGCGCCTGCGCTCGGAGCGCACGGCGGACGCGTACGGCCTGGTCACGTGCCTGCGCTCGCAGCGCAACTACACGGTGCAGACGGAGGAGCAGTACGCCTTCGTGCACGAGGCGCTGCTCGAGGCGGCCAGCGCCGGCGGCACCGAGGTGCCGGCGCGCTCCCTGCACGCGCACGTGCGCCGCCTCGCCTCGCCCGCCGCGCCGCACCGCCACGACAAGCAGCAGGCGCCGCCCCCGCCGGCGTCCGCCGTGTCGTCCGCGCAGCACAAGCAGCAGCAGCAGCAGCCCAGCGCTGGCGGCGGTGGCGGCGGTGGTGGTAGCGGCGCGTCCTCTGCCAAGCAGCAGCAGCAGCCGCAGACGGTGACTGCCGCGCCGTCGAGTCCGCAGGCGACGCACGGGATCACGGGCATGGTGCTCGAGTTCAAGGTGAGGAGGGGGGGCGGGGGGCGGGGGGCGGGGAAGCGAGGGAGGGGGTTAGGTGGGGTGAGCAGAGTGGAAGGGGGGGGAGGTGGGTGGGGGGTGGGGGGGGGTCAAATGACCACAGCCCAAGGGGTCGCAGCTGGTCCAGGGATCAATCCGGCCCAAGTGGTCACCTGGTGGCCACGGTGGAGGTCATAGGAAGGCGAGCGAGCGAGCGGCTCAGCCCGTGGCGCAGGCTCACGCTCGGTTGGGACCGCGCCGCTGGTGGCTCGGGTTGAGCCAGAGAGCCAGAAAGCCCTGAGCCGAGCCGTGAGCGGCACGGTCGGCTACGTACGGCGCGAAAGAAGCTCAACATACGCACACACCTTCTTGGTTCTTTCGGTGAAGTCACGTAGAATTGAAATAATAAAATAAAATAGAAAAATCTATTTATTATATTATTTTATGATATTATATTTTTTTGTTATTTTATTATGTTTTATTTTTATTATTTTATTATTTCCATTCTAAGAAAGAACCAAGAAGATGAATCCCTGCAGTCACGAAAGCTTTAAATCGAAATACGCACACACGATACGGCCCTTGATGCAGACTGAACGAACGCTTTCCCTCCAACCCCCCCGACGCGTCCGTCCGTGCGTGCGTGCGTCCGTGCGTGCGTGCGTGCGTCCGTGCGTCCTTCCGTGCGTGCGTGCGTGCGTCTGTCCGTGCATGCGTCCGTGCGTCCGTGCGTCCGTGCGTCCGTGTGTGCGTCCGTGCGTGCGTGACCCCCAGCGCCTGGCCAACACACGCCTGAGCCCGGCGTGCTTCGTCAGCGCCAACCTGCCCTGCAACAAGTTCAAGAACCGCCTGGTGAACGTGCTGCCCTACGAGGTGACGCGCGTGCCCCTGCAGCCCATCCGCGGCGTCGAGGGCTCCGACTACATCAACGCCAGCTTCATCGACGGATACCGGTGACGCGGGGACGCGCCGTCGCCGCCACCACCTCCGCCGCCACCACCTCTGCCACCACCACCACCTCCGCCGCCACCTTCGCCGCCACCACCACCTCCGCCGCCACCTCCGCCACCGCCACCACCTCTATCGCCACCACCTCTGCCACCACCTCCGCCGCCACCTCCACCACCACCTCCGCCGCCACCTCCGCCGGCACCGCCACGACACCACGACCACCACCACCTCCATCGCCACCACCTCCACCGCCACCACCTCCGCAGCCACCACCTCCGCCACCACCACCTCCATCGCCACCACCTCCGCAGCCACCACCTCCGCAGCCACCACCTCCGCAGCCACCACCTCCGCCACCACCTCCGCCACCACTACCTCCGCCACCACCACCTCCACCGCCACCACCACCTCCATCGCCACCTCCGCCGGCACCGCCACAACACCACGACCACCACCACCACGACATCACCACCACCGTCACCATGACACCATCACCACCGCACCACCACGACTGCGGCTACTACATGACAACGATACCGCCACCACGACACCACCACCACCATGACACCACCGCCGCCACCACGACACCACCACCACACCGCGACCGCCGCCACCACGACACCACCGCCGCCACCACGACACCACCACCACCAACCTTTACCACCACTGCCACTGCCTCCACCACGCCACAACCATGTTGTTGTTGCCATTGTTGATGTTATAATTGGTTCTTTACCCTTCTATCTGGCAACAAAACTGACACCTTTTTGCAAGGAGTCATGTTTGCATAGACCGCAATACCTGCAGTCATAATACAAACAAAAGAACATAACTCTGATAATGTGCACTGTCCTTGAAGTTGATTGGTCCACACCCGAGACAGCTTTCCTTCGAGCCTAGTCTCATATGGGTTGGACCAGATGACGCCAAAAGGCGCACCTGGTCCAACCCATATGAGACTAGGCTCGAAGGAAAGCTGTCTCGGGTGTGGACCAATCAACTTCAAGGACAGTGCACATTATCAGAGTTATGTTCTTTTGTTTGTATTATGACTGCAGGTATTGCGGTCTATGCAAACATGACTCCTTGCAAAAAGGTGTCAGTTTTGTTGCCAGATAGAAGGGTAAAGAACCAATTATCATATTTTTACTGGCAAATGAGGTCCCCATAGTATTGTTGATGTTGGCATTGTTGATGTTGTGGTCATCGTTGTCGTTGATCTTGTTGTCGTTGTTATTATTGTTGATGCTGTCATTGATGTTTTTGATGTTGATGTTGCCGTTGTTGTGGTCATTGTTATCGTCGATGTTGTCGTTGTCGATGTTGTCGTTGTTGTTGATGTTGTGGTCATTGTTGTCGATGTTGTTGTTGCTGTTGATGTTGTGGTGATTGTTGTTGTCGTTGTTGTCGATGTTGTTGATGTTGTGATCATTGTTGTCGATGTTGTCAATGTCGATGTTGTTGTTGATGTTGTGGTCATTGTTGTTGATGTTGTCGTTGTCGATGTTGTTGATGTTGTGGTCATTGTTGTCGATGTCGTCGTTGTCGATGTTGTTGATGTTGTGGTCATTGTTGTCGATGTTGTCATTGTTGTTGTTGTGGTCATTGTTGTTGATGTTGTCGATGTCGATATTGTTGATGTTGTGGTCATTGTTGTCGATGTTGTCGTTGTCGATGTTGTTGATGTTGTGGTCATTGTTGTTGATGTCGTCGTTGTCGATGTTGTTGATGTTGTGGTCATTGTTGTTGATGTTGTCGTTGTCGATGTTGTTGATGTTGTGGTCATTGTTGCCGATGTTCCCGATGTTGTCGTTGTTGTTGTGGTCATTGTTGTCGTCGCCGATGTTTTCATTGTCGTCGTCGTTGCCACCGATGCTGATGTCATCGTTGTCGTCACCGTTGATGTTGATGGTGTCGTCATCGTCGTCGCGCGTGCAGGCAGCAGGCGGCGTACATCGCCACGCAGGGCCCCATGGCGGAGACCACGGAGGACTTGTGGAGGATGCTGTGGGAGCACAACTCCACCATCGTGGTGATGCTCACCAAGCTGCGCGAGATGGGACGGGTACGCCGACACGCACGCAGACGAAGGCCCCCACCCCCCCGACCATGGCCTTCACACGCTGTTGGCGCGAGAGAACCTACGAAGGCCGGCACGGCGCACGAGGGGGTCGGTGGATAGCAGCACCACGCCCGGCCGCCTTTGTCTCCCCAGTGGCGATGTTTACACACACCGCGCCGGGTTTCTCATTTGAGGCCGAGCCGACCTAGGGGAGGCCCAGGACCGGTTCAGACAATCGTCACCGGCGTCGGGACGTAGCCGGGTTCGCCGAGCAGCGCAGCGCCGACCGCCGCGCTGCCGCTACACACGCAGACAAAGATCCCCCCGATAGCCTTCACAGACCGGCGGGGGCAAGTGCCGTTAGCGATGAGAACCCACGAAGGTCCGGCACGGCGCACGAGGGGGTGGGGCCTCGGTTCGTAGCGCCACTGTGCGCTAACCGCTGCGCCACCGCTCCGGCACCGCTACCGCTACGTGTGCGTGGCGGTCACTCGACTCATTGCCCGCCCCGCCCCCCGCCCCCCCCCGCCCACCGCCCCCCCTCCCCACCCACCGCCCCCCCCCCACCACCCACCGCCCCCCCTCCGCCCCCCGCCCCCCGCCCCCCCTCCCCACCCACCGCCCCGCCCCACCCCCCCGCCCCCCCTCCCCACCCACCGCCCCCACCCACCCCCCCCACCCCCCCTCCCCACCCACCGCCCCCCTGCCCCCCCGCAGGAGAAGTCTCACCAGTACTGGCCGGCGGAGCGCTCGGCGCGCTACCAGTACTTCGTGGTGGACCCCATGGCCGAGTACAACATGCCGCAGTACATCCTGCGCGAGTTCAAGGTCACCGACGCCAGGGTGAGTCGCGAGACCGGCTCTCAGAGGTCGCAACCGGGTACCCGATACCCGTACCCTACCCGTACCGCAGTACATCCTGCGCGAGTTCAAGGTCACCGACGCCAGGGTGAGTCGCGAGACCGGCTCTCAGAGGTCGCAACCGGGTACCCGATACCCGTACCCTACCCGTACCGCAGTACATCCTGCGCGAGTTCAAGGTCACCGACGCCAGGGTGAGTCGCCGCCGTCATCAGCGAGCCCGGCTCTCAGAGGTCGCAACCGGGTACCCGATACCCGTACCCTACCCGATACCTTTGCCGGCTCGTGGTCCCGGGGGAGACAAAGGCGGCCGGGCGTGACGTCGGCCACCCCCACTCGTGTGCCACGCCGGCCTTCGCTGGCGCTGCTGCTACTCGCTAACGGCACTTGCCCCGACAGTCTGTTAGAGGCTGTGCGGGTGAATACTCTTTGGCTTTTTTCGGTAAAGTCACGTAGGTAAAGAATAAAATAAAATAAATGTAAACGACTAAATTAAATCACGACGTTCTTTTTACCTACGTGACTTTACCGACAAAAACAAAGAGTATGAATCCTCGCAGTCACGAAAGCTTCAAATCTAGAATGTTGCGGGTGAAGTTTGTCATCGAATACGTGTCGACTCCATTGGTACGGGCGCAGAAACATCGCCACCGGGGGAGACAAAGACGGCCTGGGCGCTGATGCCGGCAACCTCGCCCCGCCGTGTCCCGTCGAGGGGTCGATCCGTCGCGTCCCGTCGAGGGGTCGATCCGTCGGTCCCGTCAAGGGGTCGCTCCGTCGCGTCCCGTCGAGGGGTCGATCCGTCGGTCCCGTCAAGGGGTCGCTCCGTCGCGTCCCGTCGAGGGGTCGATCCGTCGCGTCCCGTCGAGGGGTCGATCCGTCGTGTCCCGCTCGCGAGCTGCGAATCGCCGCTGCCCCCCTCACCCCTCCCCCCCTCACCCCCTCCCGCCCGCCCGCAGGACGGGCAGTCCCGCACGGTGCGCCAGTTCCAGTTCACGGACTGGCCGGAGCAGGGCGTGCCCAAGACGGGCGAGGGCTTCATCGACTTCATCGGCCAGGTGCACAAGACCAAGGAGCAGTTCGGCCAGGACGGGCCCATCACCGTGCACTGCAGGTGGCGCGAGGCTATACACACACACACGCACGCACACGTGCACACGTAGACACACACGCACACACACTGACGGTGACACACACTACACACGCGCACGCACACGCACACACACATACACACACATACACACACGTACACACACGTACATACATACACTCACAGTCACACACTCACACACACTCACACACATGCACGTACACACACATATACGCACACGCGCACACGCGCACACGCACACACGCACACTGACAGTCACACACTCACACACGCACGCACGCACGTACACACACATATACACACGCACACGCACACTGACAGTCACACTCACACACACATACACACACATACACACACATACACACACTCACACACACTCACACACACGTACACATACACGTGCACACGTACACACACATACACACGTACACACACACACATACACACACACGCACACTGACCGTGACACACGCTACACACGCGTACACACACGTACACACACACACACGTACACACACACACGTACACACACACACACGTACACACACATGCACACACACACGTACACACACATGCACACACACACACACGTACACACACACACGTACACACACACACGTACACACACACACGTACACACACACACGTACACACACACACGCCCGCCTACCACTCGACACGTATTACGCTGACCTCCACCTTCATTTCACGCCGGAGGTCGGTCGGCGCAGCGGTCGGTCTGTCTGCCTCGTCTCTATCTCGTCTCTGTCTGTCTCTATCTGTCTCGTCTCTGTCTGTCTGTCTGTCTCTGTCTGTCTCGTCTCTCTCTGTCTGTCTCTGTCTGTCTGTCTCGTCTCTATCTGTCTGTCTCTATCTGTCTCGTCTCTGTCTGTCTGTCTGTCTCGTCTCTCTCTGTCTGTCTCTGTCTGTCTGTCTCGTCTCTGTCTGTCTCTATCTGTCTCGTCTCTGTCTGTCTGTCTGTCTGTCTCTGTCTGTCTGTCTCTGTCTGTCTGTCTCGTCTCTATCTGTCTGTCTGTCTCTGTCTGTCTCGTCTCTGTCTGTCTGTCTGTCTCGTCTCTCTCTGTCTGTCTCTGTCTGTCTGTCTGTCTCGTCTCTGTCTGTCTGTCTGTCTCTGTCTGTCTCGTCTCTGTCTGTCTGTCTGTCTCGTCTCTCTCTGTCTGTCTCTGTCTGTCTGCCTCGTCTCCCTCTGTCTGTCTGTCTCGTCTCCCTCTGTCTGTCTCTGTCTGTCTGCCTCGTCTCCCTCTGTCTGTCTGTCTCGTCTCCCTCTGTCTGTCTCTGTCTGTCTCGTCTCTCTCTGTCTCTGTCTGTCTGTCTCTCTGTCTCTGTCTGTCTCGTCTCTCTCTGTCTGTCTCTGTCTGTCTGTCTCGCTGTCTCTGTCTGTCTCGTCTCTCTCTGTCTGTCTCTGTCTGTCTGTCTCGCTGTCTCTGTCTGTCTATCTCGTCTCTCTCTGTCTGTCTCTGTCTGTCTGTCTCGCTGTCTCTGTCTGTCTGTCTCGTCTCTCTCTGTCTCTGTCTGTCTGTCTCGCTGTCTCTGTCTGTCTATCTCGTCTCTCTCTGTCTGTCTCTGTCTGTCTGTCTCGCTGTCTCTGTCTGTCTGTCTCGTCTCTCTCTGTCTCTGTCTGTCTGTCTCGCTGTCTCTGTCTGTCTATCTCATCTCTCTCTGTCTGTCTCTGTCTGGCTGTCTCTGTCTGTCTATCTCATCTCTCTCTGTCTGTCTCTGTCTGTCTCGCTGTCTCTGTCTGTCTATCTCGTCTCTCTCTGTCTGTCTCTCTGTCTGTCTCTCGCTGTCTCTGTCTGTCTATCTCTCTCTCTGTCTGTCTCTCTGTCTGTCTCGCTGTCTCTGTCTGTCTATCTCATCTCTCTCTGTCGTCTCTGTCTGTCTCGCTGTCTCTGTCTGTCTATCTCGCTCTCTCTGTCTGTCTATCTCATCTCTCTCTGTCTGTCTCTGTCTGTCTGTCTCGCTGTCTCTGTCTGTCTATCTCATCTCTCTCTGTCTGTCTCTGTCTGTCTCGCTGTCTCTGTCTGTCTATCTCGTCTCTCTCTGTCTGTCTCTGTCTGTCTGTCTCGCTGTCGCCGCCGCCGCTGCCGCTGGGCAGCGCGTTGTGGCTCTCTGCGGGGTGGTGGAGAAGCCGACCGCCCGGCACCCCCCACCCCTCGCCTCCCGTGACCTTGCACTGAAGATGGAGCGTGCATCTGCCTTAGGCGTGCACGTGTGTGTGCGTGCGTGTGTGTGCGTGCACGTGTGTGCGTGCACGTGTGTGTGCGTGCGTGTGTGTGCGTGCACATGTGTGTGCGTGTGTACGTGCGTGTGTGCTTGTGTGGGGAGCGGTGGTGTAGCGGTTAGCGCTAACGCCGCGCTACGAACCCGGCGAGCCGAGTTCGATTCCCGCTCACGGCCACCAACACCGCCAGCGACGATTATCTGAACCCGGTCCTGGGCCTCCCCCTAGGTCGACTCGGCCTCAAATGAGTACCTGGTGCGGTGTGTAGTACACATCGCCACGGGGGAGACAAAGGCGGCCGGGCGTGGTGTTGGCCACCCACCCCCTCGTGTGCCGCTGTGCCGGCCTTCATAGGCGCTCGCTAACAGCACTCGCCCCGACAGCCTGTTACAGGCTACACGGGGGACATTTGTCTTTGTGCGTAGGGAGCGGTAGCGTATTGGTTCAGCGCGCTGCGCTACGAGCCTCCCGACCCCGGGTTCGATTCCCACCGAGGTCGACTCGGCCTAAAAACGAGTGCCCGGTGCGTCGCGTGAAACATCGCCACCGGGGGGGAGACAAAGGCGGCAACGGTCTCACCCGTCCGCAAGCGAGAGGAGCGCCGTGCACGCGACAATCGTCTGAGCCGGGCGACGCGGCCCGTGGGGGTCTCTCTTGTCGCGTCTGCGTGGTGCAGCGCCGGCGTGGGCCGCACGGGCGTCTTCGTCGCGCTCAGCATGGTGCTGGAGCGCATGCGCTACGAGGGAGTCGTCGACGTGTTCCAGACGGTCAAGATCCTGCGCACGCAGCGCGCCGGCATGGTGCAGACCGAGGTGCTGTCCGCTGCCCCCCCCCTCCACCCACCAACCACGTGATGCTGCCCCCCCCACACGCCCACGTGATGCTGCCACCTCCCGTCACCCACGTGATGCTGCCCCCCCCACCCACGTGATGCTGCCCCCTCCTCACCCACGTGATGCTGTCCCCCCCCCACACCCACGTGATGCTGCCCCCCCCCCCCACCCACGTGATGCTGCCTCCCCCACACCCACTTGATGCTGCCCCCCCCCCCACCCACGTGATGCTGCCCCCCCCCCCACACCCACGTGATGCTGCCCCCCCCCACACGCCCACGTGATGCTGCCCCCCCACCCACGTGATGCTCCCCCCCCCACGTGATGCTGCCCCCCCCCACCCACGTGATGCTGCCCCCCCCCCCACACCCACGTGATGCTGCCCCCCCCCCCCCACCCACGTGATGCTGCCTCCCCCACACCCACGTGATGCTGCCCCCCCCACACCCACGTGATGCTGCCCCCCCCCACACCCACGTGATGCTGCCCCCCCCCCCCACCCACGTGATGCTGCCCCCCCCCACACCCACGTGATGCTGCCCCCCCCCACACCCACGTGATGCTGCCCCCCCCCACACCCACGTGATGCTGCCCCCCCCCCCCAACCACGTGATGCTGCCCCCCCCCACCCACGTGATGCTGCCCCCCCCTCCCAACCACGTGATGCTGCCCCCCCCACTCACCCACGTAATGCTGCCCCCCCCCTCCCAACCACGTGATGCTGCCCCCCCTCCCAACCACGTGATGCTGCCCCCCCCTCACCCACGTGATGCTGCCCCCCCCCCAACCACGTGTTGCTGCCCCCCCCTTACCCACGTGATGCTGCCCCCCCCCACCCACGTGATGCTGCCCTTCCCCCACCCACGTGATGCTGCCCCCCCCCTCCCACCCACGTGGTGCTGCCCCCCCCCTCTCCACCAACTTCGTGGTGCTGCCCCCAACCACGTGATGCTGCCCCCCCCACGTGATGCTGCCCCTCCCCCCCACCCACGTGATGCCCCCCCCCCCCTCACCCACGTGTTGCCCCCCCCCCCCCCTACAGGAGCAGTACCACTTCTGCTACCGCGCTGCGCTCGAGTACCTCGCGAGCTTCGACCACTACTCCACGTGAGCCGCCATCGCCGCCGCCGCCGCCATCACCGCCATCACCGCCCCCCACCTCCATCACCGTCCCACGTGCCCATCGCTCGCCAACATCACGGACGCACGACGACGAGGATGTCGGAGGAGATGGAGGAGAAGAGAGATGTTGCAAGGATCTTGGGGGGGGGGGGGTTGGTGGTGGTTCGGGGAAGGGCGGCAGTTGTGGAGGGGGGTGGTAGCGGATCGTTTACCTCTGAGCATCGCCGCGCCGGATTCGTCCACGCAACGAAACTCCTCCTGACCGAGCCGACCGCCCGCCGCGGGACTTTGCACGATCGGCGCGTTCCCACCGCGGCCGGCAATGGACCCGCTCGACCGCTCGCCCAGCCAGCCAGCCAGCGGTTGCGACACTTTCACTCGTCTCGCGACACGCGAATGAAACATTGACCTCGGCAACGGCGGCGCGCGATCGGCTCCCCGAGAGCCGCGAAGAAGGCGGGCGGACGTGGGTGGGTGGGTGCTGCCGTGGGTGTGGGTGCTGGCGGGCGTGGGTGGGTGTGGGTGGGTGGGTGCTGCCGTGGGTGTTGGCGGGCGTGGGTGGGTGGGTGAGTGCAAGAGCGGGTGACGAATAATCCAAAGAAGAGCGGTTTTGCGATGGAGTTTGGCGTTGGGGAGTGACCGCCGCGGACTCGTTTAATATGGCAGGGGCGGTGAGTTTTGATGGTGGGGGGGGTTTGATGGGGGGGGGGTTTGGCGGGGGGGCCGTTCCCGATAGCGTAGCGGGGTAGCGGAGCGAGCCCCTCCCCCCCCCCCGGGGTGAGCTGCTCGTCGTTGCCGGGAAAACGCGTTCGGTTTTTACAAAGCGTCGTCCGTCGTGGTGGTGGTGGTGTTGGTGTTGTGGTCATCGCGGTCAACGTCGTCACCGTCGTACGCCGTAATTCCCCCCCCCCCTCGCCACGTCCTCTCCCCCACCACCCCCCCTTCACACCCCCCCCCCCCCCCGTAGCGTCGCCAACAACGAGGTGGGAGCGGAGAACGGAACGGCACGGAGAGTCCCGCCGAGCGATCCGAGCTAGCTTGTGTGCGCGTGTGATTGCGCAAGCGCGAGTGCGCGTGCGTGATTTGGCGAGTGTGTGGGTGAGCGCGCGTGCTCAGCTCGCGAGCGCTTGAGAGTGTGGATCCGAGTGCCTCTGTGAGAAGAACAAGAAGAAGTAGCGACGTGTAAATAGATCGCGACGGCGCAGGAACCACGACTGAACGCGCACCGGCCGCTAGGCTCGCGGTGCGAAACGTCGGACAGGCACCACCCCCCCCCCCCCCGCCGCGTGCGTCACCGCTCGCTGTAAATACTTTGTACAGAGGTTACGCGCAGAGCTCCCGGGGACTCACCGAAGCTCTGTTGACACATAAACCGGCCGCTATGTACGCGCCTCCCCTCCTCCCATCCTAACCACCAACCCCCCCACCACCACCACCACTCACCTTGTGCACAGGACATCCTTAAACCGGCGGGACTGACAAAGCCGCGTCGCTTGCTGCCATCACTGGAGAGCCCCAGATTTTTTGGAGAAACGAGGTCTCTCTTGTGGTCGAACAAAAATCTTAACAACCTCCTCCTCCTCTTAACGTTGGGAGGCAACTCGCCCTCCCAGCTGAGACATCCCGGCCCAACGGGCGTCCCACCGCGGCTTTCAGGCCGACGTCAAAGCACCGAAGCTCTCAAGCACAAGACTTCCTAAGGCAGCGTTCCCCGCACACGGCGAGGCCTTGCGGAGAAAAAGTGGCACAAAGAAGAAACCCCCCCACCCCACCACCCCGGCGCAAGAAACCGACGGCGGACAGCACAAACGAACGGAGGCGCGTTTTGGAGAGGCAGACCAAAAAACAAATGAAGCTAAGCTGCTGCTGCTGCTGCTGCTTTGGTTTCTGAAAGAGATGATAAAGACCAGAAATTAGACGGTCCCCCTTCCCCCCTCCCCGGGCAGTTCGTGCCGAAATCCTGGTTGGTATCAGCCGAAATCCTGGTTGGTATCAAGAGCTGAGCGGGTTTCCCGGACAGCGGCGAGCGTTGGCGGCAGGGCGTGGGGTATGAGGGAGGCAAATCTACGCGGGGGAATCAATTGGACGTCACCGTCGGGCACTGCCCTGTCCGGAGCGGTTAACCACCCCCCAGTGCCGGACGAAGCTAGTGCGGGGCCTGTAGCATTATGTTATAAAGGGGCCCTAAATAAATAAATGAAACACGTAAATATTAAAACACAAGTTTTTTTACTCGCATAGTTAAGTAAATGTATTTTTTCATTTGCTCTACAGCCCAGATAGTACGACAAGTCGCTAACCTTAAACGCCCCGGTCGTTCGTCAAAGTCGAAGGCGGTATAGTACTATAGTGATAGAGCAAGTACAGAATCACCAGACCGGAATTGATAGCTTGAAAGCTTTTAGCGCGGGGCGCCCTTGAAAGTGCGTGGCCTGTAGCATACGTAGCTACTACACGCGTAGCTACTACACGTGTAGCTGCTACACGAGTAGTAGCTACTACACGCGTAGCTACTACACGCGGAGCTATTACACGCGTAGCTACTACACGCGTAGCTACTACACCTGTAGCTACTACAGACATAGCTACTACACGCGTAGCTACTACACGCGTAGCTACTACAGACGTAGCTACTACACGCGTATCTACTACACGAGTAGCTACTACACGTGTAGCTTCTACACGCGTAGCTACTACACGCGTAGCTACTACACGCATAGCTACTACACGCGTAGCTACTTGTGCTCCTGCGATAATCCGGCACTGCGCGGATACCACCGCCCGCCACGGCGCCGCCAGGCCCGCCGTTTGATTGGCGAACGTTCGCTGGGGGTTCTTTTCTGGCTCCTTTTGGGTTGTTGTTGTTGCAGAGTCGCTATTGGGTCGGGATTGATGTACGCGTGCGCGTGTGTGTCTGTACGTTGAACTTCTTTCGCGCCGTACGTAGCCGGCCGCGCCAATCGGAGGTGCGGTGGCAAGGATGACAAACTCAGCGTGCAAAAAGCAGTTTTAAAAGAAACGCGTTTTCAATCGAGATGATTTTAAAGCTCAAAGCTCCAGTGGCTCACGTATGTCGGTGCGTTGAACTTCTTTCGCGCCGTACGTAGCCGGCCGCGCCAATCGGAGGTGCGGTGGCAAGGATGACAAACTAAACGCGCAGAAAGCAGCTCTAAAGAAATGAGTTTTCCAATCGAGATGATGATGATGACGATTTGACAGTGGCACAGCTCCCAGCGGCTTCCGAATATATCGTAAGGGGAAGGGAACGTTCCAGACGGCCGCGGAAAGCGCGTCTGGAAGCGCCGCCGTCTTCTGCGTTCGAAGGCCGCGACCCCCCCACTCCACACCCCCCGCCCCCACCCCACTCCACCCCCCCCGCCCCCCCCCCCACTCCACACCCCCCGCCCCCCACTCCACACCGCCCCCTGTTCGTGCGTGGCGATGCGCGGGCGGGCTCCCCCCCCCCCCAACACCCCCAAAAACTCTCTGCTGCGGTCAAAGTTTTAAAAATATATATACACACACACAAATATATATAAAATCATAATAATCATAATCGTCAATCCCTCGAGAATGCTGGACCAATTTTTTCTTACGGAGAGAGAGAGAGAGAAAAAGAGACGTGACGTTTCGTGATGTCTCGTTGTCGAGTCGGTCTCCTCGTCGCTTCTGTTCTGCTCCCCCCCCCCCCTTCGTGTGTTACGCCGGAAGCGAGGCACCCAGCCAGGCAATCAGCCTGGCAGCCGTTCCTCCCCATCCGTCCGTCCATCCGTCCCCTGGTGATTGCCCCATCCTCCCCGCTCTCTGTAAGCTGCTCTTAAAAGCGTGAGTCGACAATTTGCGACGTTCTCTTCCATGGAGAATCCTCGCCCCCCCACCCCACCCCCACCCCCTCCCGCCGCTGCCGCAGCCGTCATCATGAGCCGCGTCCCAGCCGGCGTCCCGACGGGCGGTGGCGGTGGTGGTGGTAGCGGTGGTGGCGGTGGCGGCTGTGTTTTTATTTTAGGTTTGGCCACGGATGTAACGGCGCCCACGGACGCCTCCGACGTCTTACGTCTATTTTATATTTTTTTATTTTCTTTCTCGTCGTCCGCGGTAACTCGAAGCCCCCCGTCCCCCCCCCCCCCGTCCATCCCCCATACGCGGGTCCAGGACGGAGGTTTTTTTTGCGCAAATTCAGAGACGAGCGACGCACGGACGCGCGAGATCGTTCGGGGGGGGGGGACAAGCGCCGACCGTAGCAAGCGGCGTCAGCGCCGCGCTAACGCGAGGGGGGCGCGCGGCGGCCGGCGAAAGCGGTAACCATGCGCACCGCCGTCTCCCCGGCGACGCTCCGTCATGGGTGTCCGTCCGACGTTTCGCTCCGTGGGCCTCGCTTGAGGAGCTGAAGGTGGGCGGGGCACGGGGGCGGGGCACGGGGGCGGGGCACGGGGGGGGGCACGGGGGGGGGGCACCGCCGGCGCGGAACCGGACGGACGGACGGACGTTCCCGGCGAGGCCCCTGCCGGCGCGACGCGGGGCAGAACGTCGGGACACCGTTGCCGAGCGACGCACAAATGCACCGCGGCTGTTGCGTTGTAAGGCTGTGTACGCGCGCGTGTTGTGGTCACACACAAGACTGCGAACACGCACGCGCGCGTGTGTGTAAGGGGTATGTGTGTGTGTAAAGGAATATTACAACGCGCAATGTTTTTCACTTGCATAGTGAAGTAATTGTATATTTTCATTTGCTACACAGCCCGGATAATACGACAAATCGCTAACCTTAAACACCCGGTCGTTCGTAAAAGTTGAAGGCGGTATAGTACTAGAGCGATAGAGCAAGTGCAGAGTCACCGGACCGGACTTGATACCACCACCACCTACCCCGGCCTACCACAACCGCCAACCACCACCTACCCCGGCCTACCACCACCACCTACCACCACCTACCATCACCTAGCCTGGCCTACCACCACCGCCTACCCTGTCCTACCACCACCGCCTACCACCGAACAAGCGTATACTATCATGCTGGCCTACACACGGCGTGAAAGAAGTTCAACATGCTCACATACACACGTAATGTAATGTAACGTGTACATTAAAGCAACGTACAGGGACTCCTCTACTCACGAACTTTCGACTTCCGAACTTTCAGAGACACGAACAAACCTGGTCCGTATGTCAAGTTGCCTGTTCAGACCGAGAGTCGTAAGATCAACCGTCGTGCAATAGATGGCGGTGGTGGCATCTACATCTGCAGAACGTGAAGAACCAGTGGCATCTACATCTGCAGAACGTGAAGAACCAGTGGCATCTACATCTGCAGAACGTGAAGAATCAGTGGCATCTACATCTGCAGAACGTGAAGAACCAGTGGCATCTACATCTGCAGAACGTGAAGAACCAGTGGCATCTACATCTGCAGAACGTGAAGAACCAGTGGCATCTACATCTGCAGAACGTGAAGAATCAGTGGCATCTACATCTGCAGAACGTGAAGAACCAGTGGCATCTACATCTGCAGAACGTGAATAACCAGTGGCATCTACATCTGCAGAACGTGAAGAATCAGTGGCATCTACATCTGCAGAACGTGAAGAACCAATGGCATCTACATCTGCAGAACGTGAAGAACCAGTGGCATCTACATCTGCAGAACGTGAAGAACCAGTGGCATCTACATCTGCAGAACGTGAAGAACCAGTGGCATCTACATCTGCAGAACATGAACCAGTGGCATCTACATCTGCAAAACGTGAAGTACCAGTGGCATCTACATCTGCAGAACGTGAAGAATCAGTGGCATCTACATCTGCAGAACATGAACCAGTGGCATCTACATCTACAGAACGTGAAGTACCAGTGGCATCTACATCTGCAGAACGTGAAAAACCAGTGGCATCTACATCTGCAGAACGTGAAGAACCAGTGGCATCTACATCTGCAGAACGTGAAGAACCAATGGCATCTGCAGAACATGAGGAATCCAGTGGCATCTACATCTGCAGGAGATGATACGACTTTTAAAGCCATTCCCCATGTTTGGTGTACACGCCGTAGAACGCGTTTGGAATCGGCAACAGTAAAGTCGGACTTGCGAACACATCGATTTACGAACAGACACATCTGGAAGCCAACTCGTTCGTAAGTAGAGTCCCTGTATGTTCACTTCGTCTGTTGGCGTGAATTCGCTTTCCCGATTCACTCTTAGAATGATGATGATTATTATTCATCAAGCAGCCTGAAATTGAGCCCAAGACCGAATGGGCCCTTTTTTCGTGGTTCTGCCAACCTGCCCGATGCGATGCCGCTTGTTCACCACCGCACCCAGTCGCTCCGGTAGGGACGCGTGCCAGTCCCTGGCTTTTTAAACAAATAACAGATTAATATTCTCGGTTATTTCGGTGAAGTCACGGAGAAGGGAAATAATAAAATAATGAAAATAAAACAATAAAGATTCTCACGACGTTTCGATTGCAACACAAGCAATCGTCATTTATTTTATTTTATTATTTCCCTTCTACGTGACTTTACCGAAAGAACCAACAATATGAATCCCTGTAGTCGCGAAAGCTTTAATGCGAAAAATAACAGACTCTTGGGGCAAGTGTTGTTAGCGAGCACCTATGAAGGCCGGCACTGTAGCACACGAGGGGGTGGGTGACCAGCACCACGCCCGGTCGCCTTTGTCTCCCCAGTGGGCGATGTTTACGACACCGCACCGGGTACTCATTTGAGGCTGAGTCGACCTAGGGAAGGGGGGCGATGCCCAGGACCGGCTCAAAAAATCGTCGCCGATGTTGGCCGCGAGCGGGAATCGAACTCGGGTCGTAGCCGGGTTCCGTAGCGCAGCGTAGCGCTAACCGCCACCACCACCGCTCACCACACACATCCGCGCGCTCGCACGGCAACGTAATTTTTTTTTGGGTTTTTCGACAACCGACTCTGCGGTCAGCCCCGCGAGCCCCGTCGCTGCCATCGCGCCGCGGATCGAACTTCTTCCGCGGCCAAACCCGTGCCAGCCGCGATGTTGTGCGCGAGAGAAAAGTGTCCGGGACCCCCCCCCCACTCACCCACCCACTCACCCCACTCACCCTCACCCACTCTCCCACTCTCCCACTCTCCCACACACTCATCCACCCACCCACTCACCCACCCACTCACCCATTCACTCACCCACCCACTCACTCACCCACTCACTCTCCCACTCACCAACCCACTCACCCACCCACACACCCACCCACTCACCCACTCACTCACCCACCCACTCACTCACTTACTCACCCACCCACTCACTCTCCCACCCACCCACTCACCCACCCACTCACCCACTCACTCACCCACTCTCCCACCCACCCACTCGCCCACCCACTCGCTCACACACCCACCCACTCACCCACCCACTCACCCTCCCACTCACCCACACACCACGTTCACAGACGACGCAGAGCGCGGCGGAACGAGGCGGACGCGACCCGGAGTGGCGCGGCAGATGATGAATTTTTGTTTGTTGAAATGCCGGGCTCATTAATGAGAACGTTAATGAATACGTGACGCGTCGCAAACGTCTTGCCACCTCTCCCCCCTCTACTCCAACCCCACTTTCCCTTCCCCGCGCACTGTCGCTATGAGGTCATCGTGGGATATTGGAGTAATTGAATTAAGGCCGTGTTCATTAGCGAGCGAGCGAGCGAGCGAAATAAGTAAACCCGTAAAAACAAAGTTTTTCACTCTAAATCCTTTATATGCGTGGCGGCTTGAGTCCTCTCGTCCTCTGGCTTGAGATGGCTGCCACCTATGGGTCAGATGATTGTCTGCCAGTATTAAACAATTGGTAATTAAATATAATATTTTTGTCCTATAAAGTGTAAAATTTTGGAGAAAAAAATTTCACGAACATTAATTGTCACGCACAACGAGTCTGTGTGCAAAATGTCAACTCGATTGGATCATGGGAAGTGGGTTAAAAAACGACCGAAAGATTTACACGGTCGTAAGCAAGCAAGCAAGCACGGATTTAAAAAACATAGCGAAGATCCGCCGCACAGGTTCCTGCAGGCTGTTGGGGCAATTGAACCTCATGGCGGTACCACGGGGTTCCATAGGACCCCGGCTCTCGCACGATGTCTGTGATGCTGTCAGTTTTAGTCTGTGTTGATGGTCGGCGATGCGGCATTCGACTCATCTCGACGAGCCGTACACGATGCAGCACCGCCACGGTGCCACGTACCGCGAGCGTTCAGGGTCTCGGCGCAATCGTTCTCGCTGCGTTTCGACATCACGGAGTGTGGCACTGATGTCGGATTATAGTACAGTAGTAGGTTTTTACCCTTTTAAACTGGTACAAAACTGACACCTTTATTCAAGGCATCATGTTTGCAA